AACCAAGCCATTTCAAAACCACTCAAGATGTCATGCGGGAAGTAGGTCTTGGTCTGAGGTATTAGGAGCTAAGCTGTACAATGAATGAACAATGGGCCACCACTGCTGTCTGAGTGTGAAGCCAGTGGAGAGGGCTAGGTCTGTAACCACAAATTAGATATAATTATCTTGATCGTGTTTTGAAACACTGGGTGTAGACAGATTGGTGTTTAATCCAACAAGAACAGAAAAACAGACCCTGGGCTTCCTGTGACTACAATATTCTGGTAGATCTACATTGTAATGTTCTACCCATGGTATATTCTAAAAAACAGCTCCTAGCCTAGTTAGAAGCTCCATTTTCTTCTGTAAGGAAAAGCTTATCTGGGGGCTAAGCTGCAGGCTTCATACAAGTGAACTGTCAAGTATCAGGATGGACCCAAATCCCACCTGTGTGGAACAAGCTATGCTCAGCAGGAGGCAGTTCTTGGGTTTCCAAGCTTCCCCTTTGCCAGAGGAGCCTCTGGAGACACAAGTGGGTCTGTTTTGCAGCAAAGGGTACTCTCACCCATGTGTCTGTAGAAGTGAGAGCAAGCATGTCAGGAGGGAGGGGCAAGCTGCTGGGGTCTGAAGCACCTTATACACTCCCATGTTTCCAGACTCCTAGGAATGCTAGCAGCCTGTACACAGATACTCTAAGTCTCAGGAGAGTCAGTCCCTGACAGGGGAATTGGACGCAAGGCTTGGGTGGTTCCAGCCAACCAGCATTTCATTTTAACCTGTCACTCTACACCTTTGATAATGATGCACTCAAATCATACAGAAATAGGTCTGAGAAGCCAATGGCCCAGTTGTTTCTATTTATTTAGGACCTTGTTTTTAGTGTATGTGGAGATAGAATTAATAGATAACTTGGTTTATGCATGTAGAGATTTGTACGTTAGGCCTCTTCCTCAGCAGCTAAGGTCTGGCCATACAGCACTTGGAGGCTTCTGCAGCCATAGTCCAAGGGGTACACCTTGCGCTGCTGGTTTTAAACTGGGCCAAATTCAAGTTTACAGCCAGGTTCCAGAGGAAAGCCTGGGGGCCAGGCAACGTGTAGTAGGACTGTGTTCCCTTCAGGGAGTTTCAAAGCAGGGAATCTGTGAAGGTCAAGCCTCAGTTGCAATGAAAACCTTTGGATGTTGGAGATTCCAAGAGAACAAGACATATTCCCAGGGGAGTCAGGTACTGACTGGGTGAAGCTGACGCTACAAACAGAGTGAAGTGGGAGGTGCTCTAGCCACCGGCACACAGATGACGTCCTCTTAAGCCCCAGGTGGTACATGTCCTCACCATCCTCCCAGGTTACTCTGTGTGTTGCTCTGTACACTGTGTGAAGGTGCACTGCTGAGGTAGTGTGATTAAAAAAAAAAAAAAAAAAAAAAAGCTGCAAGGCCAACAGCTAGTCGGGAGGTATAGGTGAGACTTCCAGGCAGAGAAAGGAGTCATCTAGGCCCGTGAGACACCGGGACACAAGGGCGGGGTATACGTGACAAAATGAGAATCAATAGAAATGGGTTCGTTTAGGTTGTATAGTTAAAAACAAGCCTAAACTAAGGTCAAGCTTTTATAACTAATAGTGGATCTCTGTGTCCTTATTTGGGAGCTGGCTGGTGGGATATAGACTTGTTATATTGTGCCTTTATTCTTTTGTATCTAAGAGGTTGCCTTGACTCAGTAGACACTTTGCAACAGTGAAGCTGTAAAAGATCAGGGATGCTTATAGTTGAATGCAGTTGCATGTATGAGGTAGTCAGGAGTCTATGGGGACCAGGGACACAAATGTTATGGTTAAAAATTTAGTCATAAGTTCCGGACACTACAGATGGAGCTGCTCCAGCCACCCAACCTTCTCTGCCAGGAGGGACTGTATCATCTGAAACTGGGAGCCCAGGTAAGCCCTTCTTTAAGTTCTGACAGGTGTCTTCAGATCATGTGTCTGATAGCAGAGCACCATGTGGTGCTCTGGTGCTAGTATATCAGCTGTGGAAATGAGTAAGGGCTGCTCCATCTCTCCCACTAGGGCATCCAAAGTCTGCTCTGAGTGGAGAGGGACATACAGGCTTGGACCCACAGGGAAGTACTCCTATTAGGATTAAATAAGTCTTACCAGCAAGAGAGCTATGGCATGTGAAATGTAGTCTTGATGGTTCAGCTCCTTAGAGGGCTGATAACAAAGGTATTTCATGGCTTTAAAAGAACTCCTAGCTGGATATGGTGGTGCATGTCTATAATTAAAGTACTTGGGAGGTACAAACAGGGGGACAAGGTTCAGAGTTCAAAGCCAGCCTGAGCAACATGAGACCCTGTCTCAAAACAAACATAAAACCCCAGGGACAAATGAGAAAACCCATCTTATAAATGATCAGTGTCAATAAGGGACCATCTGAGACCATAAGCCCATAGAAAAGCTTAGCCAAGCACTACCTGGTGCCCAGTCTCTGGCCTCAGCCTACATGTACCTTCTCTGTTGCCATCTATAACTCTTTGGGAAGTTTCCAACACTCAGTATCTCAGGGTATTTCATATGGTCCAAACATACACATCAGGCCTGCAGGGAAATGAGAACATCACCTACAACAGGAGTTAAGAGTCATTCTCAAAGGCACCAGGCACAGCTTCATCACGGGCAGGAGAGCAGAGGGCCAGCAATTGAAAAACACAGGTCACAGCACCTTTATTCACCATCATACAAACAGACATGACATGAAACGCCCTCCAACTGGTCTTTACAACCCTCAAAACCTATGGGATTCACAGGGTGGCCTTTGCCTTTGTATACTGAATGAGAACCATGTGAAGGAGGGAATATCTGCCTTCTACGAGGGGATATTTTCCAGAGGGCTTTCATGTGAGACACAGACCCTTTTCCTGAGAACGTATCACCTGCTAACACCATCCTATAGGGTGGAGCTATGTGCTCCAACTGTGAGATTCATCCTGTCATGACATGTGACCCTATAGCATTACCATTCACAAGGTGTAAACAAATTCCCATTATACATTTATGTGAACCAAGACAGTCACAGGGCTTACTGAACACATAGCTATGTATCCAGCTATCTTATACCAGCTTTAAAAAAATGAACACTTCCCGCCAATCAATAATGTTTTATGTATATAGGGCATTTGGAGTGTGAAGATTTCTTTGTTTTACTAATCAGTTTCTATATGCAGAGTAGTTGTAACCATGGTAAGACAACCTGCTTGCATCAGTCAATGACTCTGGTAAGACCATGTGTCATAGACACTTGGGGGAGAAAAGGCTGGTTTTATCTGAGTTCCTGCTTATAACTGCAGGAAGTGGGTGTGTATTTAAACAAACAGTGGCTGCAGGAGAGACTACACAACCTAAGCTTTGTCTTTTAAGAGGATTTGACAGCCTGACTGGAGGCACAAAAATACATCTTTAATAAAAACATGATTTTAAAAGCTTTTATTTCATAGGGAAGAGAATAAAAGTCAAATGCTAGTGTTTGATTGAGCTCAATGGTCATTTGGGCTCAGCTTGTTCATCTTTGAGAGACTGTAAAGGCAAAGGGGAATTGTCGATGAATTTTTAAAAAAATAGTATAGGAAATGTGGATTGCCCACTGCTTCCATGGTTTCCTGGACTAGTTAAATTTATTTGGAAAATGAAGGCAGTATTTTAGAAAACAGTTCATCCCTAGCCCAAGTTCATCTGATAAGGGTACTGTGTACAAAGCAGTTAATTATACACATAAATAACATAAAAATAACTGTCATAAATTAAGAAGTCCAAGAGTCTCCCACCACACCAACAACTGAGAGGTGAGCCTGGCCTGTGTGGATGTAGAGAGGGTGTGGGCCAGGTAATCCACAGGCCAGCAGGACCCGTCTGAGTGCCATCTCTTCCTTAGGCTCCAGCCCCATCCTCAAAGCTTGCTCTCTAGAATGAGGTGCTGAGAAAGTGGCATCTTGTCTGAGACCAGGGAGACTGTAGCTTCCTTTGCCCACTGCTGGTTAGCTGCCAGGGACTCTGCAGAGTGGCTGCCCATATCTGTCTACATCCAGGAAACACAGTACCAAGGACAAAGTAAGGCAAGTTCATCTTCAAGTTCTTTTTGTGTATGGCATTAAAAACTGCTGAGAAGAGCAAGGCCAAACTCATCTCCTCTCCCCTTGCCTCTTTGTGTTCCTGTGCTGGGATTGTGGACATCATGATGGCAGCCTGGCCTGTTGCCCCTGGGATGGTACATGTATGTGCTGCCATGACCCCCAGAGCTGAGTGTGGCCAGCTTGTCTTCACTGTCATGATGACACCTTCAGCTTTCACACCACCCACACCTCTCTAGGTTTCTTAAATTACTAGCTACATTCTCTCCTGTAGAGCTGAACTCCTCCATTTCATAGGAAACTGGTCTTCAGACACAAACATTACCTTTGGAATTAAGGCTTACACAGAAAGAAAATGTGGGTTCACTCCCCATCTTTCATTCAGGGATGTGGCTAAATTGCAACGTGATACATGTTTGCATTGCAGAGGCTTGAGATGGCTCTGGGGGAGTATTGGGATTCGAGCATGAGGGTTCACTTTGCACACAACTGTGTGTGTCCTCACACAAGGCGCCTGTGCACAAGACAGGGACCAACATCTTACAGTGCAAACGACTTTATCATATTAAAATAAATCAATATTGGCCACAAGAGGGCTATAATACATAACGTGGTTATGAAATAAAATGAACCAACTGTTCATAAAATCAATCTATGGATATTCTCAAGATGCCTTTTGTGCCTGATCTAGGGGGTCTCCCATGAGGGTCAAGATACTTCTCACACAAGGCTTCAGGCCACAGTCCTGTGACAAACAAACTGAGACTTCAGAGGAAGAGTTACTTGACTTCTTTCTCCTGGCTTGTGAATCCAGGAGCAAGGAGAAACCTGGGTTTGCTTCTATGTGCTGCCTGAGAAGGCTAGCCACGTTTCCGTATCATCACTGGAGTGCTGAGAGGAAACAGATCAAATCTCCCTGGGCCTCAGGATATCACACCTACTTCTAGGACCCTGCTGTCTGTGTCCCTGAGCCCCATGACAATTACAGACCTCTGAGGGTGATACTGATGTCTGGCAAGACTGCACCACCTTGGGGAAGCACATGGTGGAACTCCACGGAGTGCTTTAAACTCCTGCTTATCAAAGGCAATGTCACAAGCTAAGCTGGTAACTTTGCAATGCTAACCCAATCTCAGTGACCCTGCCATGTGCATACTCTTCCTGTTTGGTTCCCAGCAAATAAACCTCAAGGCCTCAGAGCCCTCCCTGCAGCTCAGCCAGATCTGCAGCTGCATTATCAGTAGCTGTACATCTGCTGCTGTTCATTCTGTACCTGGGGTTGCACTGCCTGCTGCGGGGCTGCAGGAGCCTGTGGTGGCTGTAGCACATCTGTCTGGGGCACAGCCCGCCATGTCAGTGGGTGCTGCTCACTGAGCTGACTCCCCAGTGGTGTGATGGAGTTCACCAGTGTGGTGAGGTTGATAAAATGGGCCACTGACTGAGGGTTTGAAGCTTCTGGCTGTGGATGGATCTGGACATCATTTTGGCGGTTGTGCAACATGGCAGAGCCACTGACAGTGTCAAAGGTGACAGTCAGGATCGAGTTATCCAGCTGTAGCTGGCGTTCAGGGTTGGTAAGGTGTCCAACAGCCACTGGCTGTAGATTGGTAAACTGAGTCCCAGCTGTAGTGGTGATGGGGGTCACAGTGATGTTGGTCAGGCCGACAGAACTTGATGGAGTAGTCACACTGGGGTCCCCTAAGGTCACCACCACCTGCAAGAGTCACATGGAGAAAGAGACAATGAATTATTTCTGCAAAAAGGAGAAAGGAAGAATGTCACACAGTACCCTCCTGTGTGGCTGGAGGCATGATTTGTGCTGGAACTGCATGCTCAGGCATAAGAGCTAGAGCAAGGCCTGCACTGGGAAAAGCAGAGCACAGTCCTTGGAGAATTATACCGATGAAAAAGAGAAAGGAAACATGGACAGTTCTCAGAGGCACTGCTGGGATGGGAAATAAATGATTATCACTGACCAGAAAAAAAGAGTGAAACTGCTTACACCGATTCATGAGGACCTGAATGGTGTCCCCAGTGTCAACGTAAACACCAGGTGCAGCAGGAGAAACAGGGGCAGATCACAACATACGCATGCACAAAGCAAGCCTGAAAAGCTAGGGAAGCCAACCCTTTATCTTCATCCGCCCTCTGACCTGCCTGTCTTATGGCCTGCGAAAATACTGTGTAGTTATGGAGGCAGCCATACCTGCGGTTTCCCTCATACCTAGTGCTGAAAGGCGAGCTGCATGCAAGCAGTTTACTGCAGAATCATTATCTCCAAAAATGAGGCACACATGGAAGAAGTGGGATCTCAAAAGACAAAGTGATAGGTAAGCAAAGCAGGGACTGCAGAGAAGCTGGTGGCTGCCCAGGTCCTGCTCCTTGACAGGCCCCTTGGGGTACCCAACTGGGAACCATGACTCGGTCTCTCACCACTAAAGTGTCACACGGTTATTAGCATGGATTGTGTGAATTGGAGGTCACAGCTTGCATGAGACAATGACTCCATGGAGAGTGAGGGAACCGTTGTGGACACCGACGTGGATGCATGGCAGGACTCAAGTACACAGGAGCTACCCCTGACATAAACAAAGGCACCAACCAACCTGTTGGATACTCTGCACAGCAGAGTTTGTCTACATCACCCACACTGCCGGAGAACTCTGGCTCCTTTTCTGGGTACTCGCTGAAGGTGGTGTCCTCAGGCACTGGAGCCCCTGCCTCTTCCTCTGGCTTCTGCTTTCTCTTGTGGCTGCGCTTGGTAGCTTTCCCATGCTTACCCTCTGCCAGTTCTTCCTGCTCCAGACCCAGTGCAGGCTGTGAGGAGACCGATATCAGTAACCACCAGGGCAGTGGCTTACATCTAGACGGGGGCCAGAGCATCATTCACTGCCCAGACACACTCATGTGTTATCAAGTTGTCACATGGCTACTTTGTGTTCAAATAGGAACATCATTAAAGAAGTATTTCCCTTGTGGGGAGCTCAGATCAAGGAAAATGCTTGTGAGTCACTACCTACAGCAGGAACACCAGGTGTAAATGCTTGATTAAAACTAAGCAGGCATTTTCTGCTCCTTTCTGTTCAGGCTTATTCTTTCCCTTACACAGTTCTGAGAGTGTCACTAAGATGGGCTGCAGGATTCTTTGCCCTGTCACTGGTACTCTGTGCTCCTGTGCGGTCCTAGGAGCAGAGAGACCTCCCAGGAGCTGGTCAGAGTACGGTGATGGGGAGACTTCATTCCCACTCTCACCGATGAGTTGTCAGGCACATAAATGGCTCATAGAAGGGCTAGATATGGATTCTGTCCATTAATTCCCTAAGACATGGGCACCTGAACTTGTGGGACACTCATCAGCACAAGTAAAAGCACTCAGGTACAGACGTCTTAAACACAGTGTAACATAGTCTCTTTGAGATTAAAAATAAAACTGTCATAAAAATATTAAGTACATCCAGGCCTGGGATTTTAGCATTTGAGAGGTAAAGGCAGGAGGGTCAGGAGTTCAAGGCTAACCTTGGCTGTTACATAGCAGGCTCAAGATCAACCTGGACAACATAAGATCCTGTCTCAAAACAAACAAACTGAGAAAAAGCACTGGGGAGGTAGAGGCAGGTGGAGGTCTGTGAATTCAAGGCCAATGAGGTCTACATAGAGTTCCAGGACAGTCAAGTATACATAATGATGCCCTGTCTTAAAAAAAAAAAAATTCTAGGTTTGCTTAATATAGTTAAGTTTGCTTAAGACAATTTAATCATAATAAAATTTTCTAGAAATGATCAATTAAAAAAATCTTTAGATTTGTTTTATGTATATGAGTGTTGCTTGTATATATGTGTGTGAACACATATGTGCACCATGTATGTGCCTGGTGCCCACAGATATCAGAAGAGGGATTGGATTCCCTAGAACTAGAGTACAGATAACTATGAGCCACCATATAGTTGCTGAGAACTGAACCCAGTCCTTTGAAAGAGCAACAAATGTTCCTAACCACTGAACCATCTCTCCAACCCTGCAAGCTACCTGTTCTTTCTTTTGGTTTTTCAAGACAGGGTTTCTTTGTGTAGCTCTGGCTGTCCTGGAACTCGCTCTGTAGACCAGGCTGGCCTTAAACTCAGAGAGATCCACCTGCTTCTGCCTCTCCAGTACTGGGATTTAAGGCGTATACCACCACTGCTTAGTACTACCTGTTTTCTCAAGACATATACACCAGCATCCAAACATCTGAAGTCACAGAAAATACAACAAAACTTAGGGACATAGTCTAGAAGGATCTGGGAGGAAGGCCAACCAAATGCCAGTGAGACTGTGCTGATATGTAAGGTATGGTCAATGGTGTGTCTGGAACCTGCTCCTATATGTGGTCTATTCCCTCAGGGTCCACTTGGTATGTGAGGTCTGCTCCCCTCACACCCCAGCCTTGTAGGTATGCTCTGTGTTGCTTACCTGGACAATGCCGATGGAGGAGGCGTCGATGGTGGTAGTCTCAGGGAGGTGGTCCAGATCGTCAATCCGCACAGCGAGGACCTGGAAGAGGCACAGGGCAGTGAGTAGGGTTGCTGTGCCTATCCAGTGGCTGCCTTGTAGGAGTCCAAACTCACTGTGTGAGGGCTACTGCTGCAGGGCACTGGCAGCTGACAAACTCACCTCTGCTTCTGAGCAGATTTTTGTGGGTCTAACACTATTCTTTGGCCTACTGTATGTAGCTATGTGCATGTCAGCTTTGTAACAAAGCAAGGGCCTAGTCCTGCCTTTCCTTTATCAGCCCCAGTCACAAGGGTCCTTAGCATCCAACAGTCACTCCATGACCTGCCCTACAAGCCCACATGGCCTCCTACTCTTCCCAGTGTCCTATCCATCCATGGCAAGCAACACTAGTCAGCTGCTCACACTCATTGCTTATCTCGTAATTGGTGTCTAAATCCTACTGATGCTAAGTCTGTATCTGTTAAAGGAAATAAAGCTCACCAAGGTGTTCACTTTACATTCCCCCCCCCACAACCTACAAAAATCCCAGTTCCCTGCAATACTTTGGGTACAACTTCTTTTGTGACCCTCATGCTCAGAAAGTTGCCCTTTTTAGGAGTCTAGTAACTTTTGTTTGTTTGTTTTTGTTTTTTCGAGACAGGGTTTCTCTGTATTGCTTTGGAACCTGTCCTGAAACTAGCTCTGTTGACCAGGCTGGCCTCGAACTCACAGAGATCCACCCGCCTCTGCCTCCCAAGTGCTGGGATTAAAGAAAGGCATGTGCCACGAACACCTGGCTATCGGTCTAGTAACTTTAACTATTTATCTAGTTTTGTTGTTTTGAGAAGAAGGTGGTTGGGCTGGGGCTTAGTCTACTGAGTGCTTGCCTAGCATGCATGAAGCCCTGTGTTCAAGGTTCAGCACCACATAAAACCAGGTGTGGTGATGCATGCCTGCAATCCAGCACTCTGAGAAGTGGTAGAAGGATTATAATTTCAAAGTCATCCTCAGATACATAGTGAGTTCTAGGACAGTCTGGGCTACACATGATCCTGTCTCAGGAAGAAGAACAAAAAAAAAAAAACCAAAAAAACAAAGCAGATGGTATAGTTCAGACATAAGACCAGGGCTCACTCTTAAACTCACAGTGCATCACGACAAAGGATCTCAGAGCAGAGCAGGCACCCCAAACCCACAGTGCGGCCAGGCCATGCTACGGAGAGATGGAATGAGCTCCCCCAGGCTAACCTCAGGGTGCTTGCGCCGCATATGTCTGCTCATGGAGGCCCGGGTGGACACCTTGGTGCCACACAGCTGGCAGCTCTGTGCTTCTACCTTGTCATGGGTGAGCTGGACATGTTTCTGCAGCATGTACTCCGTGACATACTTCTTGTCACACACGGAACAGGTCCACTGTTTGCCTACTTCTCACACACATAAGAAAAGAAAAACGCAAGTCAGCAGAGAGCCACTAATGCTTCAGTTACCCCCCAAGCCAGGCATCCACCATCCCCTCTGCTCCTCTAGGGAGCCATTACCTTGTCAGACCACTTGGATAACACTGCCCAAGACTAGCAGGAATAACTGACTTTTGTCCTTGAAGGACAGACTCTGGAAAGGTACAGCAGGGCTGCATTAAACCAAGGGGGTCCTATTCTACAAGGGTTTATGAAACAGAGCTTGGACATCCTGAACCATCCTTGGGTTACCTGTGTGGATGAGCTTGTGTGTCTCCATTGTGTTCCTCTCACTGAATGTCTTTCCACACAATTCACACATAAAATCTTTAATTCCTGCAGGAAAAGTCATGTTCAATTCACATGCTTAGTGAGTTTTAAGTATACGCAAAGGACATCTCTGCTTCAGAATTTGTAGCACCCCAGGAGAATAGTAAATTGTCAGAAGAAAGTTAAAAAAAAAAAAAAAATCAGTATTCCCAAGTTTACCCAGAAAATCGTGGCCTCAAAAATTTAGCCCTTTATATGACACTTTGTAATTTTAAAAATGAAGAGATTTGGGAAAGCCCAAGAACACAGATGTAAAGAAGAGAGCCCAGGGGTGGAGACAGCAACAGTTTCTCTAAGGATAATTCACTTATACTCCTAATTAGCCTCAAAAGGCCTTGGGTAGCTTATGAGACATGCTGTAAGAGATTAAACAGCAAGAGAAAGTCAGGACCCAAGGCAAGATTGGGAATGTTTCCTTGAGAGACAGCAGAGCTGCTGTGGTCACACAAAGTGCCAGGGGATTCCCCTCCACCACCACCACTATCTACCAGCACATCCATAGCATTAGCAAGATAAAACACAATCCATCCCAGGATGCAAGGATGATTTGATGTATGCAAATGGGCAAATGTGATGTGGCACATCAACAGAATGAGGGACCAAAATATCAGTGGATATAGACTTTGATGATCATCTCAATTAAGTGCAGAAAAAGCATTTGATAAAATAAAATGTCCCTTCAAAATGTTAACAACCCAGGTAAGAAGGGTCATACCTCAGCATGAGTTATGAATGGCAAACCTAGAGCCAGCATTGTGCAACAAGGGAGGCATTCAAGCAAACTTTATTGCAGTCTAAAAGGAGACAAGGCGGTGGTTCCCATGCTTGTAGTCAAGATGGCACCTCATGTTTTAGCACAGCCATTAGGCAAGAGAGGAACAAAAACAAGCATGCAGGAAGAGTGGAAGTCAAATCATCCCTATTTGTTCACAGCATGTCTCCATGTGGGAAATCCTGAAGATTCCGCTAAGATCTTCTGAACCGATAGAGAATTAGAATTACATCACACAAAAATTCACATGCAAAGAATTGAAGGCTGAGGATGTATAGCTCAGTGAGCAGAGTGCTCATCTGGCATGCACAAAGCCCTGGGTCTGACCCTGTGTACTGCATAAACCAGGTGTGGCAGCGCACCCCTGTAATCTAGCACTCAGACAGCAGAGATAGGAGGATCCAGGAGTTCCAGGTCATCTTGAGCTACAAAGTGAGTGCAAGGCCAGCCTCTGGGGGGAGGGAGGGGAGAAACACACACACACACCAACATTTATCTGCTGGGGAAGAAATCATGAAAACATACACCATTTATATGTAGGAAAATGTTATGAACCCTGTCATTTTGTACAGAAAAAAAAAAAAAAAAATCCCGAGAGTCAGTAGGAAAGTTCAGGTTAGTCTTTTAGCAGATGCTTCTAAAAACAATAATTTCCATATTCAGGACAGGATTCTGTGCTCAGTAGTTCAGTCTCCAGATACACAACAGATTGTGACAAAAGGTATGCAATCTCTCATTGGTGTACACTGGATTCATCATAAATTTACCAAGTTAAGACTTCTAAACTCTTTCAAGCTTAGACCTGAAGATCTGAAAAATGTGGCGGGGACTCCTGGCACCCACATGAACTACACACTTTTACCAGAATAATTAGTACAACAAGGTGTCAACACTGGGAAAAAGATACAATCAAGATGCTGGGTTAGTGAAAGAACATGTTAGTATTTAGGCATTTATACTGGCCTGCTTTAAAAAAAAAAAAAATTACAGCAAATTATCCATCAAATTCACAAGAGCATCCCTTCAGGTATACTAAATTGAAAGTGGTCAAACACCTGATGAAGGGTCCAGTCCATGGCACTGCCACAAGGACTTCCAACAAAGAGGAGCTGTCCATCTGTCCATCATGTGCCTCAGGAGCATTAGAGTGCTCCAGGCAGGCCTGGAACTCACAGAGATCTGCCTGCTCTGCCTCCCAAGATTAAAGACATGAGCCACCACTGACTAGCTTAATGAATACTGTTAAAATGTCAACACAAAGTGGTTTACGGATTCAGTGAAATACACCAATGGCTTCTTCATAGAAGCAGAAAAGCAACCTTGAAGTTTGTGCAGAAGCCTGGCAGACAGCAGAAGTGACCTGAGACAAAAGAGCTGCAGGTCCCAGTACCTGGTTTCAAGACACTACCAGAGTCACAGGTACAAAACCATAATGGTACAAAACTCACACAGCCACAGAACAGACCCTAAAATAAAGTCACACATGTGTATAGTCAACTGAACCTCAACAAAGGTGCCAGGAAAACTGGATGTTTACATTCAGAAACTTCAAACTTGACCCTTTTCTCTACAAAACCCAACTTACAATGGGTCAGAGATTAAATACGAGACATTGGTACAGTGATGGCTATTTGAGATGAACACTGAAGTCCAGGAAACAAAAACAAAACTATACATCAAACCATGAGACTTTTCCAGAGCAAAGGAAAAAGCTCACAGATCAGAAACAACAGAATGAGGAAGACATCTGTCAGCCAGTTACCTGACAGAAGGTTTATTTGAACAAAGCATAATGAGTCAAAACTTTAGAAACAAGCAATGCAAGCTACAAAAACCAGTAATGATCAGAATAGACACAAATATATGGAAAATGATCACTACCATCAAAATTCCAGTGAAAATCCATCTCACCGTAGTTATAATGGCTATTATTAAAAGTAAAAAACATGCTGGTAGTGGTGGCTCATGCCTTTTCTCCCACCACAGGGGAAGCAGGTGTATCTCAATGAGTTCTAGCCAGCATGGTCTATAGAGTAAGTTCTAGAACAGCCAGGGCTACACAGTGAAAGCCTATTTTGAAAACTAAAACCAAACCAAACCAAAATAACAACAACAAACACCCAGAGAGATGTGAAAAAAAAAAAAAAGATCTCACACTGGTGACTGGTGGTAAGATGGGTTTGTGATTCTCTGCAGACATGAGGCACCCCAGTAAGTGGCTATAATTTTCAGGGGTCCAGCCAAAGACACTGGCAAACTCATAAAAAGGTGCCTGGCACAGACCTTTACCACTCACACTGGGGGGTTTTGCAGACTTGGCAGAGCTGGGCCAGGACACACCTGTGTGCCGCTTGTAGTGCTTGAGCATGTTCACTTTCTGGGCAAACTTGCGGTGACATTCTTTGCACTCATACTCCTTGATGCCCTTGTGCAGCTTCATGTGGTGGCGCAGCGCATGCTTGGTCTTCATGCCTACAGGACGCAGATCCGAATGAGTGCCAGACTCCCCAGAACTTGCCCCATGACATTTGTGTCCCATCCCACACCCATGAAGCACCCATCTAAATCCAGTGGGCACAACTCCCACAGACACAGAACTGGCTTGGAGAAATAGGCTGTGGCCTCACCGCAGAGGGTGCTGCTACTCCACTAGATGAACAACTCACAGAGTTAACACCTCAGGAGGTCACTAGAGATTTATTGTGACATTAAGATGGCAGTGTGCCAACAACAGCTCCTAAGATGATGCAGTGAGATGTACAGGACGACTAGGGCTTTTTAATCTGTCTTGATGACACCAAATCTACATTCAATGAATTATTTTTAAAAATGCCATTCTCGCTGGGTGGTGGTGGCACACACTTTTAATTCTAGCACTCACGAGGCAGAGGCAGGAGGATCTCTGTGAGTTTAAGGTCAGCTTGGTCTAAAGAGCAAGTTCCAGGACAGCCAGAGCTACATGAAGAAACCCTGTCTCAAATAAAAAGAAAAGCCATTCTGTAAAAAAGTGTGTGTGTGTGTGAGTGTGAAAGACACACAGAGAAAATGAGTGTAGGAACATACAAGGTCAGAGGGCAACTCTCCAGAGTCAGTTCTTGTCACCCTGTAAGTAATGCAGGGATCAAACTCAGGTCATTATGCCTACATCCAAGCACCTCTACCCATCACAGCATCATGTCAGACCACTACTTTTAACTTATTGCTGCCAATCTCAGGCATTGAAACAATCCAATGCGTGACTTCAACCGGAAGGTGAGGAAAGGGTGAAGCATCCTCACCCAGCCGAGGTCCAGCTGGGTGAGTGGTGGTGGCACTGGCACAGTAAGTACATCAGGGCAGGCCGCAGCAGTACTAGTCACAGCTCCCTTCCCAGTGCACAGACCAGCAGTGTTACCACGCTGGGTGGGAGCAGTGGGTCAGAGTTCACTCTCATCTCCAGCCTCACCTGGACAATAGCACACCCAGCCCCGTTTAGTCACTACTCATCTTCACCTATCAGTGGAAAGCTGGCTTCAGACAACCCACCTGAACCACAGGGCTGGACAAGTCAGAGAGAGCAGGGGGCACAAGAATCTCACCCCGAGCCTCCCAGCTGTCAGTCCCTGGCTGGGTAAAGTGCCAGGCCTTTCTGACTGTGGAGAACAATTTTACCTTAATTTACCCCTCTTCCCAAACCCTCCAATTAAAAGCGTCACCCCACTATAACTGCCCAGGGACAAAAACCACAGGTAATGACAGATCCAGCCAAAGCTTGGCTACCCTGAAGACTATTCTTTAGGAAACTGGCTTGTTCTTGATCCCTCTCCGGCCCTGCCTCCATCACATCTAGGCTCTGTTCAAAACAGTGTCACCCGGTATCGCTGTCTGCCTTGCAAAGGACTGAAGTCAGTGGGTACAAATCTCACCCTTGAAGGTCCAACATCTATTCATAACTGCAATGCTCTTACAATTTATGTACCAGGCATCAGAGACCAGGGTGTACGCTAGACACAGCCCTCTAGCTTCACAGGATTCTGTTCTAAGTGAGACTGGGGGATGAGAGAACCCACATAGTATGCGGAAAGAGAAGGGAGAGATAGGCAGAGCCAGCAGGAAGGGGCTTGGGGAGAGAGGTTGTATGCAAGGTCATCCTTGGTTACACATCAAGCAGGAGGTCAGCTTGGGCTACATGGCCCTGTCTCAAATAACAGAACTTGAAACATCCAGCTTTTTTTTTGTGTTTTTTTTTTTTTTTTTTTATAGGCTATAGAGTTATCTTATGGATAATTTTGTGGTACATGATATAATTTTGAGAAAGACGGTTTCCTGTGCCTGGGACCCTGACCCCCTTTCCCAAGAAGACTCATGATTCCTAGCAGCCACCCACTGTCGTGGGCACAGATTATGTCTAGGTTTAGGTCTACAATTTTAGTGATCATAAGCAAGCTGGATGCATGCTCTAGTAACCTGAGATTTCCCATGGCTCCAGGGATACCCTGTGGCTCAGAGGGACCTCCTGGGCCTCCAAGCACACACTCACCTTTCCCGCACTCAGCACACAGGTACTCTCGGATGTTGTCGTGCACACGCATGTGTTCTTTTAGCATGTCTTTCCTGGCAAAGGACTTCCCACACTGCTCACAGGCATGGCTTTTCACACCTGTAAACAAACACAGCAGTGCCTGAAAGCTCTAGCCAGCAAGAGGTCTCAGAAAGAGGTCTCTGCTAGAAGCACAATGACACTGTGGGCTGCCTTTTCAACATGTTCCATGGGAATTCTTGGCATGAGAAGGCCCTGAGAACCTGGCGTGGACACAGGTGGGTGGAAAGAGATGTGCTGCAGGTAGCAGGGGGAGGCCAGGATAAAAGCTAGAGAGATGGGGATGCAGTGTGGGAGTCAGGGTGTGGCTGTCTGTACATGGACCCAGGGAGAGTGATGCAGGTAGGAATCCTGCTGCTGCACAGGTGAGCTGGCATCACACATCACTGCAGGAGCATATTACCTGTGTGGATGAGTTTGTGGCGTTCCAGGTTCCCGATGCTGTTGAAGATCCGCCCACAGATCTCACAGGGATGAATGTACCTGAAAGTAGAGACAAACCTCAGGAGCCCCATTAGAGACTCATCCACTGTGAAATCTTTGTCTGCTGAGGGTCTGCTCTGCTGTGATGGGCATGTGTGAAAGCTCCTTTATCAATGGAGGCAAGGCAAGTAGCTTGAATGTGGCTCAGATGGGTTGTCTAAAGTCAGCTTTCCACACTGAATTGTGTCCCCCTAATTGTTGTTAAAGCCCCAGCTCAGAATGTGGCTGGCTGAATGTGGAGACAGGCATTGACAGGGCAATCAAGGTAAACCGGGCCATTATGGTGACTCCAGGCCTTAAGGAAAGGAGATAAGAGGCACAGAAGGCTGAGCCTACGAGGCACAGAAGATGCCATGTGCTAGTCAAGGAGAGTTTAGGAGCAGCCAACCCCAAGATACTTAATATGAGACCCCAGGCTCCAGGACTCTGAGGTGTGAGGTACTTGGTCTCGGCAGCTCTAGGAGATGGATCCAGTCATCTAGTTGCTCACTACATAGCCCTGGCTATGGGCTGACCTTTGACATGGAGCAGTATTAACAAAACCTAGCTACAGTGGAAAGGCTATGCTGGCTTGTAAAGGAGATTAGGGTGAGAAATGAGGCCTAGGAAGCCAGGTGCCCCAAATATCTGGCATATGATGACCCAGTGATTATGACTTGCCAGGCTAAGCACTGTGGCTTTGCAAGAGTCCCCCTCTTGGTCACAGCCCTGGAGTCTTACTTCTGCACATTGGGGTCAGGCAGGTTCTCTCGGTGGATGACCATGTGGGCATGGTAGGTGGCCTTGAGTGCAAAGCGCCGGTGGCAGATGCTGCAGCCATGACCCTTCTCCTTGTGTACCTCCATGATGTGCTTCAGATACTCCTTCCCACGGCCGAAGGTGAGCTGTAAGCACACAGGGTGGAGGCTGCTGAAGCACTGCCATCTCTGGGCATCTCTGTTACACGGGAAGGTCAGTTACTCATGACGGGGAAGGGGGATGGCAACGATGAGACAGAAGCATGCCGCTTACAGAAGACAGGCTGCTGGGAACTCAGGTCATGAGCTGCTTGGAATCAACTGTCCTTCCTGAAAGCATGCACCCTGTCTTGTGTAGCATGGACCAGCTTCAGGCTGGTTGGGGCAAGGCATCCCCCGTCTGAGGCCAGTGAGGCTACTTAGGTCAGTTCCCAGGACACGGCCCCTCCCAGTCAGTGCTTCACTTTGTGCACACCAAGCTGCAATGGGCTGTGATGGGTGTGAGGCCCAAGGCTGCCATCCCTAAGTCCAAGTGACAGGGACAACCTTTAGTGACATGGACAAAGCAGTGCTGTAGGTTCCCCACAGCTCCATGGTCACAAACTCCTCCCCTGCAGCTGTGCTTACAGTGGGCTGTTGAGTACCTGGCACCTCTTGCAGCTGTATTTGTGTGGCTCAGAGTCCGCACTCTCATCAGAGTTGTCATCATTCTCCTCCGAGGAGATCCCGATCTTGCCGATGAACTCCTCCCGCTGGTGGTCATCCATTAGTGCAATGTCCTGAAGGACGGTCACAATCCCAGCCTTTATTGCAATGCACTGGGGCCTTGGTCAGTACTTTTGGGGAATCAATTGTTTGCCTAGTGAACTATATCTATGTCTCTCTGAATGGCACTGGCCTTGGTCATCCTGTGGTACAGGTACTTAGCAGCTGTCAGGGTCATTATGCTATCTGACTAGCAAAATCCCACTTAGGTAGAGTCCTGGAGGACACCCTGGGCTGCTGCACCACTGCTCTGGACTACATTCTACTTTGCACTGGGCCTTTGACTCGGAGAGCTGCTTCTTTCACCTGTCCTCATCCCCAGTCTTCTCTACCCTAGGGCTCTAGCACAACTCTTTTCCCTAAAGGCAGGGAGGCAGCAGAGTGCACCCTCCTTACACGCATTCTTCTGGGAAAGGCCCAGGTCAGAAAGACTCTCTGTTTGGGCAGGTATGATAGTGGAAGTCTGTATGAAGAGTCTCCGGTGGTTATGCCAACAACTACGGAAGGACACGGCAGCAATCTGAACACCAGTGTTCACACGTTACGACTTTACCTGAGGCGACAGTGTGAGGGAGTAGGAAGTAGACCCTTTGGGGAGTGACAAGGTCTGACAGTGGGGCACCATGAGAGGACACGGTAAGAAGGTGATGTATGGATGAGGAAACCCTGCACAGACTCTTAACTTCCCAACACCACAACTGAGAAGTGCAGTATGTTGTGAGTGCCTCGTCCTTGTAGCATAAAAGCTAACACAAACACTGGCGAGGCCAGGTCACTGAGTGTCTCCCGCATGGGACCTGCACCTTGAAGTGGACGTGGATGTGGTCCCTGAGTACGTCCACTCGGAAGAACTTGCGCCCACAGATCTCGCAGGTGTATTTCTTGTCACCGTGGGTCAGCAGATGTTTGTTCATGTTGCTCCGGCAAGAGAACACCTGGGGACAGAGAGCCAGTACAGTGAAAGGCTATTGGATATACGCAGGAGCCAATCCCTGTGGCCTACCAGATAAGCTATTACCAAGCCTAGGACATCTAGCAAGTTCTTCTAGACTTATGGTTTTTCCTTTCCCTCCCTCTCTCCTTCTCTCCCTCCCTTTGAGATAGGGCTTCTCTCTGTAACCACCCTGGCTGCCCTGGAACTTGCTCTGTAGATCAGGCTGGCCTCAAACTCAAAGATCCACCTGTCTCTGCATCCCAAGTGCTGGGATTAAAAGATGTGTGCCACCACCATCTGGCTAAACTTATGGTGATTTAGATACCCACTCACACCACAATACAGGACACCCTGTCTCCAGTCTCCAACTGCAACGAGAGCACAGCAGAGTGCTTGCACTGAGTTAAACAGCTCACTGGTGCACAGCCTACTATGGAGCCATGCAGATACACCTGCAATTTTTACAATGTAGATATAAAAGAAGACACTCAACTCAGTTTGAGTACCATTTCATGTTGCTTTCCATTTCCAGCCTAGAGGGATGGATGCAGCATCCACACTAGTCTTCCGAGAGCCATGTAACAGCCAACCCTGAGCTGGGGCTGGGAACATGGGGTCTACAAGGCAGATATACAACCATCACCAGGGGCCCAGGAGCCCCATTGATCATAGAGCATCCAATGGCAGGCCTTTCCTCAGATGAGGTGCCCTGGGACCTACTTGTTTATTGCCATGGGCTCCACCTCCCTGTCCCTGTACCATCTGCCCCCAAACCCACAGTTTAAGTTCAAAGACCCCACATGGCTTCACTGCTCTGCTGATCCATAGGCTTTGGCTTGCTCTGTGGGCTCAAAGAAGCCAGGAAATATCATGAAAGCAGAACTTTCTATTTCCCCTTAAAAGCATCACTGGATCAGTGCTGCAACATGATCACAGTCAGGAGCGGCCAGCCATGTGGGAATGGGTTTCCCAGTGTGGTGTTGCCCAGGTGTCAATGCTACTCTATGTCAGTAGCTCCCTGTGTAGCTTTGACAGGCTCAGCAGTAACCCCGCCTAGATCACACACAAAGAGTACACATTTGCATAGAGAACCCTTTCTAGACCCTGTATCCCAGCAGGTATGTGCTCTGTGTGGTAAGAGACATGATTGCTAGTCCTCTGGGGATACAGCTAGTACTTCCAGTTACCTGAGTTATCAGAGTTTAGTCTAATCAACAAGCAATGGCATTTCCAGTTAAGAACAGGTGTTCATGAGTGAAGAATGGGATAATGTGTATGCGGTAGCCAGGCCAGGGGCTGGGAGCTCCAGATGCCTACACCATAGACATGACCACGGCCAGGGTAGATCATATGGGGACACCTGCAAACAGCACAGGCTATCCAGACAAGAATACTTAGTTAGCATCTACAACCTAACCTTGATCACCATGGGGTGGGCTACCCCTAACTTAGAAAATACTACCTGGCCCCTGAGCAGGAGTGGCCAGCATGGCCAGCATAAAGCCCCAGGGCATCTTGCCTCTTCAATTTGGATATGAAGACAAGGTACAAACACGCATAAGGCACAAAAAAAAAAAAAAAAAAAAAAAAAAAAAAAAAGAAAAAAAGAAAAAAAATTCTCACAGATTTATTGGAAACCCATTTCGGGTGGCAGAGACCAAAATGCCAAATGTGCAAACCTGAGAGACACTTCAATTAAAAACAAATGATGTATATTGGTAGTCCCTGAACACTCCTGCTCTAGCAGGTGCTAACCTTTTGACACTGAAATATGGTTACTGTCTACAAAGTTCATACTTAAGAACTGCACAGTAGAACTGAAAGTCAAAAAAGAAACCACTTGGTACTGCTTAGTTTTCTGGTCAATTTGGCATAAGCTAGAGTCAGCTCTGAGAAGAAAACATCAGTTGAGAAATACCTCATCAACCTGACCTGTAGGCAAGTCTGTGGGGGCGTTTTCTTGATAACTACTGATGAAAGACTAGCTCATTGTGGGCAGTGCCACCCTGGGTTGGTAGTTATGGGTGCTATAAGAAAGCAAGCTGAGCAAGACATGGAGAGCAAGTCAGTAAGCAGTACTCATTTATGGCTTCTGCTCTAGTTCCTAATTGAGTTCCTACTCTGACCTCCCTCCATGATGGACTATAAACAACTCTTTCCTCTTCAAGTTGCTTTTGGTCAGTTTACCACAGCAACCAACACTTAACTAGGACATGTGTTATGCCTTAAATGTACGATTATGCATTAGGCTGCATTCACAGCTATCTGGAGATACCTACAAGTTTCCTGGACAATGTTCACTGTTTGCAGCTCTGAACTTGAGTTTAGAGAGTGGGGACTTGCCATCCAATACCAACGGTAACTACAGAATATTACCTTGCCACACACTGGGCATCCAGAAGGTTCCTTCTTGTAACGAACCAGGCTTTCCCCACTGGCCTCCAAGTCTTCTCTCTTCACTCTCCGCACACCTGAAAACCCAGACCAGACAGGAAGTATGAGGCCACATGGTACAGGACAGATCCCAGAACTGCCTGGGAACTATGCTCAAAGTATTGTGGTACCAGAAATGTAAGAGGCTGATGGGGGTGGGAGGGGTTAGGGTTAGTTTGAGTTCATGGGCAATATAGCAAGACTCATCTGGCCATGTGGTAGTGGTCTAACCCTGAACCTGGTCAGGACAGCCGAAACTGTTACACAGAGAAACCCTATCTTGAAAAATCAAAAAACAACAACTCCATCCTCAACCAAACAGTTCCATCTAACCAAACAAATGACAAATGTGAGTGGTACACCTAGTCCAGCTAGGTTCATCACAGAAAGCAGTGACTTCCAGCAGAGCCCAGAGCATCCTTGTTTCTAAGAAACTGCTCTGTGTTGGGTCTGAAGGAATCTCATGGCCAGGTCAAGTCCAACTATGGCATTGACCTCAAGAGAAACAATTATTACCACCACTTTATGAGCAGGAAAACTAAGGTGTAATGATTTGCCATGGTTCTCAGAGGCTTGGTGGAGCCCAGAGTATACTCCTCAGAATCTCATGGGACCATGCTGTAGGTCTTTATGAACCAATAGGGAACCAAAGGTCGGGGGAAAGCAAAGTGCAGGAACTTTGTGACCTGGTCTTGTTTTCACAAACTCATGCACATATATTTGGCGGTTATGCTTTCTACATAGCCTGAATTCATTCTGTAAATGGTGGTTTCGAGGAGTTTGATTCTTAGTGGGGAAAATAAGGATAACCTTAATTAGAATACTGACATTAACCGCTGTCCTCATTCTACCCTTGCTGCTGCCTCATATGTGCAGAGAGAGCTGACTCTGCTGGGTCTTTCTCTGACCTAGTTTACTATGTAGACTGACGGCCCCCTACCCACCAGCACACTCCACTCTGTTTACATGGCTGAGTCTGCTGCATATACGACACCATATTGGCTTTTCTTATACTCTACCACACTAAATGCATTCTTCACAGTATTAAAAGCCTCTCTAAAGGAATACTTCAAATAACTGCCTAACAGTCAACCCCAAAGCAGTCCAGCTGATTTGTTCCCCCTGCTCCTAGCACTTTCCTCTGCGCATGGCGCTGTTAACGCCATTCTATGACCCCTGGGATTGGGAAGAGGGTCACCAGGTCAGAAGGAAGGCATCTCAGGTCCCAGGCTCACCATCCAGGTGCCGCCTCTGGTGGTCCAGCATGACATCCTTGCGGTAGAACATCTTACTGCAGACCTCACAGGCAAACTTCTTGTCCCCATGTTTCTTCTTGTGTTTGGAGAGGTTGCTGTTGGTGGAGAAGAATCTGAAACACATCTCACATTGGAACGTCTTGTCATCTGTCCAGAGAGTAAACAAACATACAATGTGCGGTAAATCACCCCTGACCAGGCTCCAGCATGTGTGCCTCAGCAGGGTGGAAAGACGTGTCAAAGCAGGAGACCAGCAGGGCTCTGTGGCTCAGAGCTCATCAGCTGAGTGTGCTCGGCTAGACATATAAACATACACTGGTGTGCCAACTCTGCTCACTGGGTAACGCTGCCTGAACAGCTCGCTAGGCTCCTTTCCCTCTACCTGTACATACTACAAGCTCCCTCAGACCCAGAAGTGGCCTCCTTGTGTCCTCAGCATGCTCTCCTGCTTCTCCAGCACACTGCCACTGGCTGGCCTGCCTCTTTGCTTCTGGATTACCTTTTATAGCATCCCCTATAGTCACACCTCCAACTTCTCTACCTTCCAGAAGAACTGCCGTGGGCCTAGGCCTCCTTTCAGTGAACACACACTTCATACTCACTCAACAACACAAGCACATATTCCCCATTCATTCAACACATACCCCACAAATACACATGCACATGTATGCATACACATACACACACACAGCATTCATACCATCTCCATCCCTATTCAACACAGCACATAAACACACATGCTCACATTGTAAGAAGTCAGCATTCCTGCATCCCTGTCCCTACTTCAAGTACCTCTGAAAGGCAGTCAGGCAAGTTGTAGTTCTTGCCTTTGGAAGTTTACGCTACCATTTGCCCCTGTTCCCTCTGCTTGGTGTCTGCAGTCCCTGCCCCACAATTGGGTACCTTGCTTCTTTGTGGACCAGTTCTCAAAATCACTTGGCCTTCCCTGTATCATGGATGTAGATGTATATGATAGCAGGTAACAAATGTGGCATTACTTCTTTCAGGAGCAACAGCCCCTAGGTCAGAACACCTCTAGATTCAGCAAATGTTTTCCTATAAAGCCCTTAGTCTACATAGTATTGCTCATCAGACATCCACCACTGGTCCTCTTGTGGGTGGAGAGAAGTCTCTACAGATAGCTTGGGACCTCACTTGTCAGGCATTCATTGTTGACATCTGAGCAAGTCATTCTGCTTGGAAGTTCCCTAGACCCAGTGGGGTGTTACATCCCTGGACTCCATATACTCCACTAGATTCTAACCTCGACCCCTCAGTCAGCTGTGATAACCAAGGTGTGGCTGAGAAGCCAATGCCCCTTGAAGTTGAGGTCTACTAGCAGGATTTAAAGTGAGGTCCCATGGCTGCAGGAAGTCTCTAGTTCCACTCAGGAGATTCTATGTGTAGCCAGCTAGAGATCAACCCAACTAAACTTGAAGAAAATCAGTCATCTTTTTCTCTTCCTGCCAGGGGGGACAAAGACACAAGGCAGGGCTGTGTGCCTGGACTCTGAGCAGGGAGCTGTGAAAGAGGGAACCAAGGCCTTAGTAGGCACCACACCTGGGGACAGGGTAGCGCAGCACAGGAAGCGGTGGCCTAGCTATAGCTCCCCCCACAGCAGGCTGGCTCCTCTTACAAAGGCATGGACCAGAAGTTCTAGGTAAGTATCAGGAGATCTGGACCTGCTCCTGGCAATCCTACTGTGCGACTCGCTTTCCCAAGGTGAAATGTCAGTCATATGATTTAACCCTCTTTCTCATTTGGCTGTATTACAGAGTAGGTCATCACTGCCATTACTACCCAGCAGGACAAAGTTTCTGGTTTGACAGTTGTAACCAACACACAGCAAGTGCTTCTTCATTTTCAGTCCCAATCCTTTAGAGAAACCATTAAATCTCAAATGGGAACAAGTGCTTTTCAGTTCCTAATGCAACTCTGACATCAAGATGGGGTTGTTGTCACCTCGCTCTGCATCTCCTTGAGGAACAGTTAACGAAAAGCATGCCCGAGGCTGCACCAAATGGGAACAACTAGGACTGTGCCCATCTTCTTACAGGCACACTAAGACAGGGAAGGTGGAGGGCACAGGCTACCAATGCTGGTTAAGTGCACATTCCCCCAGGTGGTACATATCACTTGGCAGGCATCCTCCAGAACCTTCCTGGCCTGCTCTTCAGAACAGCCTTGTCACAGTGAGCAAGGTACCATAATGAGGACAGAAGAAACCTGCCAGACACGGAAAAAATGCAAAGACTCTGATACCTACAAGTGAGCAAAAGCATGGACAGATGCATGACCATAGATGTGCAGAGTGTCACCGGTTGACTCTGTAAGTCTCTAAGATAATTACCACTGCCTCATTTTCTGAGTCCTAGAAAGGGGGAGAACGTGAAGGCACTGGGGACCGTCTTTCTACACTTCCTCTGGTGATTTGGCCGCATGGTCAATGCCTGGAAACTAGTGGACATAGGGCTCCCTTTCTAGAGCAGGGGGCATCCAGGCCTCAGGGAGTTCCCACCCCTCGGCCTACTTGCTGACTACTTGCTTACATTTGCCAACGATACATTGGCCCAAGAGGCAGTGCCTGAGAGCACCCTGGGCTCCACAACCACAGCTGCCTCCCCAGCACAGACAGCTCAAAACACAGCAGCTTCTGGCCTCATACAAACATGGCTCCCACTTTCCTTTTGGAGAGTGGCATATGGAATCAGGCTCAGGATGTAACAACCTGGGCCAAGTGGCAACAGAATCCCTGTCTGGGTGCCAACAGGGTACACAGTTGCAGGAGGCTAACAGTGGGAGGAAAGGCTTTCCCATCTTAAGCCTTGCCGCTGCATTTCTCTCTCACACATTTATAGAACAAACCCAACACCATTGCTCACCCTGTCTGCAAGGATGAAGGTCTTGAATCAGTGTGGCCTCAGACAGGGTCTGAGAATGCATAACTGACATGAGACAACCCATCCCTTCCTGACAAAAGGAAAGTTGCTTTAGTCTTCTCTGATGGCTGAACAGTTTTATTCCTCACATTCCTTGAGGCATTAGGAAGATGCCAAGGCAGCTGTCTTCTCAGAGGACCTTTCCTCCTAACACGCAGGGCAGGAGGCCGGGGGCAAGGTCTCACCTGTCCTACAGTTGTGAAACTCCAGTGCACTCTCCATGCGGAAGGTCTTTCCACAGCTGCCACAGCGATAGCGGTACTCACCATCCACCTGCTCAAAGGGGCACACTGTCAGCAAGGAAGACTGCATGACGACCTCAACACATGTGCCCCCTCCCCAGGTGTATACAGTTCTTACTGTCCAACTGCCTGAGAAAGAGATCCCCACACTCAGGTAAGTGACCCCAACTGCCAGCCACCTATGCTCTCCCAACTGCTTCTGTGAGCATTGGCCTAAGCTGGGCTCAGAATGCATTGTCAGGGAGGGGGGATTTCCCTCCGGAGACTGAGAGTTCTCCTCTACCATGGTTCCTCCTCTAAGAAACACATGGTCAGCCACTTGCCTGAGTGTCTACTTACCTCATTCCGGCTGTGCTTATAGGAGACATGTTGCTTTAGACTTTCCTTACGGCTGAACAGTTTCGAACATTCCTCACATTTAAACAGCTTGTCACCTAAGGAACCAGCCAACAGAAGGCAGATTCACTGCTTTGGCCTTTCTCAGCAAGCTGCACTCATCTCTGAAACATGAGGCTCTGCCTGGGCTGGGTGCCCCTGACGCTGAAGGGCAGTGGTGGCCACAGCAATACCACTTGCAGCAGCTCTGCAGCAAGGACACAGCAATGGGCATACACTTTCCTGGCCCTGCCCTGTGGGCTGGGCAGGCACTCACCGTGCGCGCACTCACCGTGCGAGCGCACGTGCCGGCTCAGGTTGCTGCTGTTCTGGAAGACCTTGCTGCAGGTGCCACACTGATGGATTCGTTTATGCTCACCCAGCTGCCGTACGAGTTTCCGCCGGACGCCATGTCTGCTGGACAGAACCAAGCCCCTCTTGAGGGCAATGGTGCTGCTTTGATGATGTGTGAACCTGCCCAGGAAATGGATAGCTAGTCAAAGAGAGGTGGTGGCTGGGTCCTCAGAGTGGAAGTTTCTGATCATAGTCACCTGGAAAGTCCCTTGGCCATATTTCCCGGCTACACTTGGTCCACGAGGAAAGGAGAAGGAAGGCAGAACTTGATGCTACCCGCTCCCAGTGCCATCTAACAGCTGTGCAGTTTACCTGCTTCAGCCTGGCTATCAGGAAGCCTGAGCTCCATTTGTGTCCCAAGCAAGGTAGCCCTGTCTGTGGCTCTCGCCCTCACTTGGTCTCAACTCTACTCTGCTTTATGTTGACTCTGCACCTGACTTCTAAAACATTTCTTCCTCCTCCCAAGTGTGCTTTTTCTGGTGAGTGCTTGAAATCCTCTGGGCAGTAAGACAGGAAAGAAATAATAAACATGTCCACATTTTCACAGGTTCATCAGGTGAATTCTGCCAACTCCAAAGGGCATAGAAAACACCAGCAGCTGAGTCAACTTCAGGGCAAAAACTCACCAGGGAATCGTAACCGTGGCATAAACATTTCTTTCCCTTGCTCACCAAAAAGAAAGCAGAGCAAGGTGTGAAACTGACTAAATTCCAAACACAAGCAACTCCTGAACCATAGCAGCACTGCTTACACAGCTGGGGTAAAGCCCCCAGGAGCTCCCATGGGGAGAGGACAAAGCAGGTATATGCATCAGTAAAGCAACAGTCAGCCTCACAGAGGAGACTTGGATACACACTATGACATAGGAGGACGTGCTGAGTAAAATACGCTATTCATAGAAGGCAAGTACTGTGTGCCCTCCTGATGTGGGGGACATAAACTAGAAATGAATGCAGACAGAAAGTAGAATGGTGGGCATTTGGGGCAGTTTCAGTTTGGGTAGATAAAATACTTGGGAGATGGATAGCCATAGGGTCTCTGTGCTGTGTCCTTTAAAAGAGTTGTGAAGGCAAATTTTCTGTTATGTACGTATAAAGTTGAGGAAAAAGTTTTCACAGTGATTGAACTACGAAACTATGAAACTCCTGGCCAGAAAATATGAAACCTAGCTCTGCTGTGGTGATTAGAGGTGGGAGGTGCTTTCTCTTCAGTACCAATTAGTCACTCCCTGTGCTCTGTCCCCAAGCACCAGCCACACACAAGCAGGACTTACTTTGGCACTGAGCTGACTTCATTTGTGGGGGTGGCAAGCTTCCCCAAGACTAGTTCCATTATCCGTTCATCTGGTGTTGCACTCACAGGCTCATCTGGGGGACTTCAGTAATGATCTCTGCCACGTGCTCTGTGCAAACGGTATGACAAAAGCATCATCACTAGTGTAGGGGACAAACTGGGACAAATCCAGGAGAAGAACTGCCCCTGGGAGCACATCCTGAGTGTGGATGCAACAGGGATAAAAGTAGAAATTTTAGGATTCAAATGTATATCTATACATAAATAGTATGTTTTCAATGCAAACCAAAGTCATATGCCAAGCCTTGTAAAGCCTAAGCATCACATCAGTCTCTCCTGACCCTACCCAGGACACTATTAATATACAGCAGACAGGTATGCAGCCAGATCTTGAAGCTTATTAGATGAGCTCTGACAGAGCCATCTTGAGGCTATTCAAAGGTGAATAAATATTCTATTCAGGGCCATGTCAGAAATAGGATAAAGTGACACACAGGATGGTTATACAGAAGAAAATTCCAACTACCGTGGCTTTTGTTGTTGTTGCTTGAAATAGGGTCTCATGTAGCCAGGACTGGCCTCAAACTTACTATGTAGTCAAGGATGACCTTGGACATCTGATCCTTCTACCTCCCAAGCGCTATAATTCTAGCCATGTAACCGCATGCTCAGTTTCCGTGGTGCTCAGCTGATTCTTTGGGCTGTGTTTTCCTGGTGTCCTCGTCCCCTCTAGCTCCTACAATTCTTCCCTCCCCTCTTCCTCAGGGTTACCTGAATACCAACAGGAGGGACCCAATGGAACTTTCCAAGTTGGGCTCTCTCAACCCATTATATACTTAGCTTGTGGGTTTCTGCATCTACTCCCATCAGTTGCTTGGCAGAAGCCTTGCTGATGATAACTGGAGCTCTGGTTTCTATTGTTTCACCTACTATCACCAACTGCAAGTGACAGCCAGAAAGTAGTTCCTTCTGTCCCTTCCTGTCTATAGAGGCAGGCCAGTCCCACAGGGAGCTCAAACCACTCCTGCTCATGTGCAGATATTTCCACATGGTTCAGAGAACAGGCACTGGACAGAGAGTAGGAAACAGGAAAGTGGAGACTGTTCTATAAGAATTGCTCTTCTATTCTCTTTAATTTCCAGCTTGTTTCTCATTTCCACAATGGCAAGACGAAAGAGCATTCAGTGCCAGTAACACAGACAGGAGGGGTAGACATCTAAGCACTATACCTTGTCCTGAATGTGAGGTGGACCTAGCATCAGAGCGGCCACACAGCTAGGACAGGGGTTACATGAGGACCACAGAGACAATGGTTTTCCAGAGACATGTACATGCTACAGAATGGATCCCTTCAAACTCAGCTGCGGGTTTTGCACAAAGAACAAGCTCAAGCCTGTGAAATGGCTCGAAGTGTCGTGCTAGCTAGTGTCTTGTCAACTTGACACAAGCTAGGATAATCTGAAAGGAGAATCCTCAATTGAAAAAAATGCCTCCATATTTTCTTAAGTAGTGATTGATGAGGGAGGGCCCAGTCCATTGTGAGTGGTGCCCTTCCTGGGCTGGTGGTCTTGGGTTTGATAATACAGCAAGCTAACAAGCTACTCTATGGGCTCTGCATCAACTCCTGCCTCCAGGTTCCTGCCCTGTTTAAGTTCCTGTCCTGACTTCCTCCAATGATTGGCAATGATATGGAAGTATAAGCCAAACAAGCCCTTTCCTTCCCAAGTCACTTTGGTCATGGTATTTCGTCACAGCAATAGTAACCCTAAATAGGACAGAAACTGACATCAGGATCATGGGGTTATTTACTGACCATGACCTGACCATGTTATTGGGGGAGGATTATGGAAGGACTTTGTTACTTTAAGCTAGAAAAGCCATTGAGTATTCAAAGATTGGTGAGCTTTTCTGTGGGAGCTTGGAAGAACGTTGAGAGTAATACAGAGGATGGAGGCCTGGCTTGTGAAGTTCCAGAAGGAAGTCTGAGAGTCCCTTAAAGATTTTATCAGGACTATTTGCTATTTTGAGTTGGGAACGTGTGGTTCAAGAATCATCTATAATAAACAAGACACCAGAATCATTGAAGTAAAACCTTTGCTTTACTGGGACAATTGATGGTAGTCAGCTACAACAAAGAAATTAGTGGTGAGTAAGAAGAGACCAGAATCACTGATGTGAAATCTGGAAAGTGTTCCCTCAGAGTCAGCACACAGAAGGTATGTTTCAGAGATAGGCAAGGTTGTACCTTCTGATATCAGCTAAACTTGGGTAGTGTAAGAGTCACTGGTTTTGAAGTGGTACTGGTTTTGAAGATATGAAGGAGTCATGGAGAACAGCTAAGACTTGGCTCTGTGAGAGACCAGGAGAGGTCATTGGTTGGTGGGAGATGCCATTCTGTAAATATGTTTCTCTTATTGGTTAATGAATAAAGCCCTATTGGCCTATAGGAAAGCAAGATAGCCGGGACTAGGAGATAAGGAGGATTCTGGGAGATGTAATAGGTAAGAGTCAAGATATAGGAGATGACAGAAGAGGTACAGATCCTCTCCACGAGAAGATAAGACCACGTAGAAACACTTAGATTGGTAGCCAATAAGAAACGCTAGTAGCCAGCCAACAGATTCATAATTAATAAATAACTGTCTCTGTGTGTTATTCTGGTGCAGACTCAGTAGTGGTTGAAGCCCAGGACTGAAGAGGTCAGGAATGAAGATGAGGCTTGGCAACATGAAGAGAGCTTAGGGGAGGCTATTGATGCAAATGAGGCCCAGTTGCAGCAAGAGACCCAGCATACTGGAGATGCAAGAACAGCAACAGTCATGGCGTGGAGGCTGCTGGAACCTGGAAGACAAGCTGTGTGTGCTACAGAGGGGAGAGCCAGAGAAATTACTCAAGTCCTTTGAGGAGTCCAGAAGAGTCAGTGAACCACAGATTGAACATTGAGTTATTTACACTGTTGGAATTTAGTTTTGCTTTGTTCAGATTATGATTGTGCCCTGGTTGTTCCCTCTTGAAGTAAGAAAGTATTTAACTTAATTTTGATTTGACAGCTCCCACAGTCCAGAGGCTGAATTTTTAAAGAGATTTTAATAGAGACTGATTTTTTTTTTTTTTTAAAAGATTTACTTATTTATTAAGTATACAGTGTTCTGCCCGCATGTATGCCTGCCTGCCAGAAGAGGGCACCAGATCTTATTATAGATGGTTGTGAGCCACTATGTGGTTGCTGGAAATGGAACTAAGGACCTCTGTAAGCACAGCCAGTGCTCTTAACCTCTAAACCACCTCTCCAGCCCAAGAGACTGAACTTTTAAGTGGTAAAGATACCTACTGTGCAAGCCAGACCCCTAAATTCCATCCCTGAAGTCCTTTTAGAGGTGAAAAGGAACTACAAAAAAATCCTCTGGCTTTTGTATAACACACACACACACCAGCCAGGGCCAAGACCACCCATAAGCAGTGGACAACAAATACTGGGAACTCACATGATGGACTAAGTGCTGCTGGGTAAACAGAAGAGGTGTGACTGACAAGCATGGCATGAACAAGACACACACCTGAAATAGTGGAGCACATAGACCCAAGCCAGGCATGGTGGTAGAGGTATGGCATCCCAGTTCCTCAAGAGGCTAAGTGCGTAGGATCCAGAGTTCAAAATTACCCTGCGCTACATATTGAGCTTGAAGTCAGCGATAGCAAGACTGCCAGGAAACAAAGTATGGGGGGGGGGGTGACCACAAACAAATTCAACCAGACTGAGAGGTCCAGTCCCGATGAGACAATTTAAAATCTGTGGTCTGAACACTCTGGTGTGGAAGATTCTGCAAGATAATCAGACTCTTAAGAACTGATTGAGGGACTGGAGAGGAAATAAGCCTCTACCTCATGAACCTTTCCTGCCAAGATGGTCACCTGGAAAATTAAGAGATAAGGAACATACCTCCCACCATGGCACATACCCACCCCATCAGCTTCTCACCTGAGGGCTCCTTCTCTTTGATAATGACCAGAGGCTGCTCAACCTTGGATGCTTTGGGTTTCCTCCCCCTTCGAGGCTTTTTCTTTGGCTCTTTGGTGGCCACAACACTCTGGATACTCTTGCTCTCAGCTGCTGTGGGAGTCTCCCTCCTGGGTGCGTCAGGCTCCTTCTCAGAGGCTGTCTCATGCTGCTGGCCACCTGCAGGAAGGCTTTTGGCTTGCTCCAGGTGGCCCAAGAGATGCTCTGCAAGAGAAGAGCTGCTGATGTCACAGTAGGAACTGGGCACCTGCCGCTCACCACCTTCCCTACTTTCTTTGTTACATTTGCTGAGTGTGCCCCCTACACAGGTAAATAAAATTTATCTTCACTGTTTTTTAAAAAGAAATGGGTCCACCAAATACATATAGCTTCAGACAGAGTTTCCCTTATCTGACATGTTGGAGACCAGATGGTTCTGGATCATGGTGGATTCATTCCAGATTCTGAACTTTCAAACGGGGCTGATCAGCTTAAATTGTGTTACAGACTAGCCTCAGCTTCTGATCCTTCTTCCTCCACCTTCAAGTACTAAAACTAGACTTTGAGTAGGGCTCAAACCCAGGGCTTCCTGCATGCCAGGAAAGCATGTTTGCCCCCCACCCCCAGTCACATCCCCCATCCTGGAACTATGCTTAGAAGTAAATGAAACAAGGCAGGGTGTGATGTTACCATGGGGCAGTCTGTAAACCCAGAAGTAAGCATGCTCATCTGCAGAATGCTGGTGCAGCTCCAGTTTGACTTGATTGAATAGGGCAACCTGGACCTGCTTCCTTGACGGTCTTTATTTTCTAACTTTGCCACAGACAGTGACACACTAAGACTGAACCACCTCCAGAGAACTACTAGGTAAGGCACCCACAGTAAACATTTTTCTTTCTTTCTTTTTTATTTGTTTTTGAGACAAGGCTTCTCTGTGTATTCCTGGCTGTTCTACACTTCACTTTGTAGCCCAGTTTGGTCTCAAACTCAGAGATCCACCTGTCTCTGTCTCCGAAGTGCAGGGATTAAAGGTGTGTGCCACCACTGCTCAGCTAAACATTTCTTTATAAACCCTGTAAGAAAGCAAAATGGTTTTGCTTATTTATAGCTGGAAATCTCTAAGACCACCCAGGAAAAGATAGTGGAGACAGATGTTGGCAGCAAAGGCAGGGTGGCACACGGAGTGGCAAGCTTGGGAGGTAGTGGGCAAATGTGGCTAGGTGACAGGGCACCAGGTGACAGGACGAAGCACACAGGTGACAGAAGCAAGACTGTGCTGGAGCTGGTTCCTCCTCCTGCAAATGTGAGTCGATTCAGCACCACTACCAAGCTGAGTAGCCACTGTTCCTGGTTTGTCTCTCATTAGAGACTCTGTCTAAGTGGGTGGCCCCAAGGAGCAGGCCTGTGAGGGAAAGCTAACATGACCTGGCACCTAGCAGAGCAAGCTTACACTGAGCCCATTGGCTGAAAATGAGTGGGAAGGTGAGATAAAACAGAACACACGCCCTGAAAAAATACAAGCTGAGCAGCATTAAGGAAAGCAAACAAGACTCTGCCAATCACACAGAAGGAACTTAAAACCTAAGGGAAGGACGCACAAGAGTGAAACTGGAGGCTCTGGGGTCTCCTAGGTAAAAACAGCTTCATAAGTCATCGTGGGGACTGAGAGACAGTCTTGGGTCTACTCTGGATCTAGGCACAGAGCAACATAGATTCAAATTTACATGGGATCTGGGTAGGAGACATGGATTCATCCTACACTAGGCTCAGGTACTGGCACAACAGAGACTGAAGTTTACACAGGGCTTAGGTTCTGAACCGATCAATAGAGCCTGGTTTGTGTCAAGATTCCTCTGGGTTCAGTGACCCGGGGAATCAGAAAGAAAGCTGTTCTCCGCAATGGGCTTATCATTCATTTACTTTCATGCTTATTTATTTATTGTTTGTGCAGGTGTGCTTGGGCCATGGTGTACAAGTGGAGATCAGAGGACAACTTGTAGGAGTTCATCTTCTCCTTCCACCACGTGGGTCCCAGGGTTTGAACTCAGGTGGTCAGGCTTGGAAGTAAGAACCTTTGCCTGCTAAGCCAACCATTGTCTTCTTCTAAGGTTTTAGAGAGGAAGAGCAGGTGGTATAAAATGACTCCCATAAAGAACTAAAGACCCGTGGGGGTATATGACAAAAATATATACCAGTCAAGCTAAAACAAATCAGCAAACCCCTTCATGTCCTAGTGAGAAATGAAACCTCAACTATGAAGCTCAGGAAAGAAGAAAAAAGGAAAAAAAAAAAACAAAAAAAAAAAACAACAAGCACCCTGTACCAACACTTCCCCAGGCTATGGGAGAAAGCACACAATGGATCAGGAAAGAGGGAAGAATTCTTGCTAAGCACATCATCAAAGCAACAGAACACAAAGCTGTGACCCACCACACCCCAGAAAGCTTGGCAACTGTTAGGGTATCAGCTGACATAAAAACTCGGAAGACTGGAATTCCAAGATCACAGCACAAGCTAAGGGCAAACTGGAGTGGAGGGGGCAGGCATACTAAGTAAAGAGTAGAGATTTTTGAAAAACAGCTAAGATAACTGAAAAACAGCAAAAAAGTAAGAAAAGTAAGCAAAGAAACCTTTTATAAAACTAAGATACAAATTAAAAACATGACTTAGACATTAAGAAAAAAGGAATCTCTTAAACAGAAATCCTCCAAAATGGACAAATGACAAGGAGGGCAGAAGATCTGGGCATAACACTAGAAAATGGTCTCAAGTAGATCGATATGCAGAGCTCTCAAAGAGAATAGACAGCCGAGGGAAGCAATGTGTTAGACACAGTCACAGAGCCATCCACAGTAGATGGAGCTGTGACTCTTCAGGTCCAAGGTCCAAAATAAGGAGAGGAAATAAAAGGGATAGCAAGAGCTAGGGATAAGTGCGGCCTGCTGAGTGTCTGCCTGGATCACACTAAGCCCTGGGTCTGATGCCCAGCACTGCATAAACAGGTGTGATGTTACATGCCTGTAATCCCAGAACTCATGTTAAAGCAGAAGAACAAGAGTTCAGGTTCAAGGTGAGACCCTGTCTCAGAATCGGTAAATAAATGCCCAGCAGTTAAGAGCACTAGGTTGCTGACAGTGAAGAATATGATGGCTAAGTCTGTCGTTCTGTCTAAATAGTGCCCTTGTTTCTAATGTCTTCCCCTCTAACACTTTTTTTTTTTCTTCCTCTGCTTCTTATGATTAGTTCCCATAATGGCACAGGTGCATCTCTGTGGATTCATCATACTGGTAGCCTGTTGGGCCCTTCTAGGTTGTAAACCGGCATCCTTTAGTGTTTCCTTGTTATCTATCCATCTGGCTTGTTTTTGAGACAGGCACACTCAAACTTACTGTGTAGTTGAGGATAACTTTTAACTCCTGCCTTTGCCTCTTGAAGACTGGGATTACAGGCATGTGCTCCCATGCTCAGTTTTGGGGGTGCTGGGGATTGACCCCAGAGCTTATGATGGCAGACAATCATTCTATCAGCTGAACTACATGCCCAGTCCACTAACTGATTCTTAGTGCCTCTCTCCTTTCCCTACAGAACACTGCTAGCCACCTGCAGAGCCTCAGATCATCTTCCACTTTCTGTTTCTCTTCTGTTTGTGTCCTCCATATGATCCTCTGTATGGAAAATTCTCCCAGTGTTTTTGGCTGCTCTCCCATCAATTTTACATCTGCTACCACAGCTTTCATTTTCAGTCATCTACTGTCTTGATTTCTTCAACAATGGCTGCTCTTAACTGAAGGATGCAGTGCCACAATGCTATCTCTCACACTTGCCATCTCTTACCCTAGAGAGAACTTAGCTTGAAGGGTTGGGGGGGGGGGAAGGGGTGCTTTCAGATTCCTTAGACAAGTTGTTTAGTCTCTTGAGCACATTCAGCTTTCTTCCAGCACCTTGGGGTCCTCCGCCTCAAGTCTCTCCCAAGGGACCCAACATTCTGCTGACAGAAGCAGAGATGTAGCTGGGTGAGGCCAGGGCAGGGTTTGGGCAGATCAGAAGGCCAGGGCTCTAAGCAGGCCACCAGTTTGTGCTTCCCTGTCCTCTCCTCCCATGCTCCCAACACTTCCCAAGCTCTGCAGGAGCAGCCAGTTTCTTGAGTATCCCATTGCTGGCTTCAGTTTCTCAGTTAATGCTGCTGCAAACACAACCTTGCTCAATGCTCTCCACTTTCCCTTTCTTTGTCTTTGCATTTAAATGGAGTAGAATTCCAGGAGGGCACCAAGGCCAATACATTCACTGTTGCCTCATGTTTAATCAGACACTTCTAAGTGGCCTCCTGGGAGAGAAGCAGGGTTCCCTAAGGGGACATAGGAAATGACAGCATCAGGTGAAAGGTCAAGGACAACAACCTGTGCTTTCCATGCTGTCCAACAACCTCAGTTGGTTGCTTGGTGCTCTAAGTGGTGGGTCTGACTTTAAAAGGCACATACTGGCCCTTACCTGGCCGCAGTCATGTATGGTCTATGCTCAATCAGGAATAAATGCATGAAGTAAATTCAAGTTCAAAGGACTCGTCTGGTTTGGAAACTAGGCAACTATAGGCAAGGCAGACACTTTCTCAACTATGTTACTGCCACTGAAAGTACTGCACAGAAGGCTATCCTCAATCATTTTATTTCTGGTGTTTGCTAGGGGCATACAGTACACTAGGCATTAGCAGAAATAAAACGACCAATTTGGCATTCTGTGCATTATTTTCGATGGCAGTAACATGGTTGAAAGAGTGTCTTAGCTGCACACCATAGGCTAGCGCCTAATCAAGAAAGCCATACCCTTTCGTTCGAGGTAAGCCTCCTCAGACAAGGCTCTGTGTGATCATGACTAAGACAAGGAATCATGGATTAACAGTGTCCTACTGGACAAAGTATTACCCAACAAAGCCTGTTCTTCATAGATTTGTGTACCACAGCCATTATCACTTGGCTCTGAGATGGTCCTCAAAGCCAGTCTGTGGGGGACAAAAGGCACCCCTGCCCTGCAGCTCAGTTTCACAAAGACCCAGCTCTGTACTCTCCTCTTCTTCTTTTTTTTTTTTAAATCAGTTTTGTACCTAGGTCCTCAACTATCAAGTTACCTACCAAACTCCCACACAAGGGTTGCAGAAGAAAGAAGAGCCCCTTGACTCCTGGCAACACTGGCCTAGCTGTACTACCAAAGTAAAGGGAATCTTTTTCCTCAACTAACACTAGTTACCAAGGAAAACTACCCAACAAACCAAATAGCCTTTCTTGATTGGAGTTAAGTGACCATATCTTATGTGAAGCCACCCCCACCATGGTTTCTATAGATGGGCCGTGCCCTCCCTCGTCTAAGGGGTATGTTTTTTCACAAACCCGGCACTCTTAAGAAACCTGGCAGCAGCAGATGAGGCTGGAGAGATGCCTCAGTGGCTAAGAGTTCTTGCTGCAATTCTAGAGATCAAGGTTCATGTCTCAGCACCTACATGATCACTCACAACCTTCAGTTCCCAGGGATCTAGTGCTGTCTCCTGGCCTCCATGGGCACTGCACACATGTACATGTAGGCAAAACAATCATACACATAAAAGTAAATATAAAGAAGAGGAGGTAAGAAGAAGGAAGAACTAGCAGCTGCTCTATGTTTCTATCTGTGATGATGAACACAGGTGAATTTCCCCAGGCAGAGGGCAAAAGTGTTAAGGCCAAGATTAGGAGGATAGCCCAGGAACATAGGAACAGACAGCCACAATCCTTAGGAGAAGAACTAGCCCTGCCTAAAATGTCTCCCAGAAATGTTCACATTAGCCTTTCTGTTGCTAAAATCTGCCTAGAAAGAACTGTCTCATAAATTCCAGAACATTCCAATCACAGACTTGCTCAGGTTACAAGAGCAGAACCCAGCTGTCTCTGTCGCATCCTTGAACTGGCAAATCAGTGGCCTCTTCCCGGTTTGGCCCCCAAACATGTTCATGTTCCATAAGTGATAAAGGTCTCAGCATTCATACCTAGCTTCTTGGTAGCTTACATGACTGGCATCTTCCTCTACTGTCCACCAAAGAGGCTCCTAGGATACAGTATAACTAGGTAATTAGGAGACAGAGTCAATTTTTCCCTGGCCATCTTCAATTAGTAAGGGAGCCTGAGGTAATAGGATACTCTGAAACTGTCCTCAGTGTCACACACACTTACCAGTTCATCCCCATTTTACAGATGAGAATGCTGAGCAGATGTGGTAACCCTGCTACTACATAGGGTCAGCCCTGTCACTAGACAGGGGAAGGATTGTGATACAGAAACTAGACAGGATTATAAGAGGTAAGTTATGGTGGTCTTTGGCCCTTGCTTGTGTCCACCACATCCAGAGCTTGGTCAGCAAGACAGTAGGGAGGGTCAGGTCAAGGGAGGAGCTCTTAGCAGCAGCTCACTGTGGGCCATGGGGCAGACAATACAAAGTCTGGGACACCCTGACAACCATGGACATGGATAAAAAAGCTCACCACACGGCTGGAGAGATAGCTCAGCAGTTAGGAGCACTCGCTGCTTTTCTAGAGGACCCAAGTTCAATTTCTAGCATCCACATGGCAGCTTACAACTGTCTGTAGCTCTCATTTCAGGGGGATCTGACAACTTCATACATGCAGGCAAAACCCCAATGTACATAAAATAAAAATAATTTTAAAAAACAAAACAAACAAACAAACACTAAACACCCAAAAACATGAACAAGAACAACAAAAAAGACAGACGGACGGACAGACAGACAGCCAGAAAGGCTCAGCCCAACCGTCTGCCCACCTCGAGTAACCCCCATTTGCCACTTTTACCTTACCATTCAGGAGCTGAAGCTCCAGGAAGGTACTGGAGCACACCTTACACACCCATTGGCCACGCTCAGGCTCTGTAGGGACACTGGGCTCAGGGGTGCCCACAGCTGCAAGACACAAGACAGAAGGGTTAGTCACTACAGCCAAGCATTGCCTGTTCCCTAGGTGAAGATGACAAGGGCAGAGATGCCCACAGACTCATGGGCACTTGTATTCTAGGCACTGTCTTCAGTTTCACACACACTGATCAAATTCATTCCCATTTTACAGGTGATAAAACTGAGGAAGATGTGGTAACCCTGCTACTACCACAGGGCCAGCTCCGTCACCTAACCCCCAGTCACCAGCCCTGTGGGACCACAAGCCTTCAGGACCCATACCTGACCTGGCCTGGTTGTGCAGACTTGTCATACCAGCTACTTAGTATGCGGAACAAGATGACCAAGTCCAAGGCCCCCACCCTGTTCACAGAACAAGTTCAATGACAACCTGGCCATTTAGTGAGGCACTGTCTCAAAGGTATTTTTGCTGTTGTTATTGTTTTAAAGGGTGTGTGTGTGTGTGTGTGTGTGTGTGTGTGTGTGTGTGTGTGTGTGTGTGTAGCTCAGGAGTAGAATGCTTTACCTGTATTCTACCTGTAACAACAATAACACCAACACACACACACACACACACACACACACACACACACACACACAGACTCATATTTAAATCACTTAATGGTATGGTGGGGCCCAAAACAGCAATCTCACAGTGTTTCTGAGACTGGAATGGCTGTGGCGCTGGCCCAACATATCCTATGGAGATTTTTGTGGTAAGAGTTGTACCTTGTAACTGTTGTCTGGCAGTGGAGCCTGGAACCTGGGCAGGAGTGAGTTTTAAAACTGTTCAATTAAAAATATCCCCACCTGGGGCAGGCAGCTGCCACCTGGATGGTGCATCTAGTCCTCTAATACTGACACACAGGAACTTAGGGACAAGAACAGGGGCTCAAGGAATACAGACTGACCTTGGCAATGCAGGTAGGCACTGTAGGCTCTTTTTCAAAGTCACAGGCATCCTCCTGGGACCTGTACTCGGCATGTCTCAGGATCCAGTTTGTCTGTGGGGCCAGCCTACAGCTACCATTCTTGCCTGTCATATCCAGACCATCACTCAACACTCTAGAGGCCACTCAGGGAAAGTACCTGAGTTTAGATAGTCTCCCAAATCTGCAGCTATATACCCACCATGCACCAGAAAGAGCACATCCCATCTCCCTGTACCCCAAGCGAGTGCTAAGAACACAAACAAGAGATGAGAATGCAGAATGCAGACCATCATGGCTAGGGGAAGAAGCATATGTAATTTGGAACCTGTCAGACTGAAATCAAAGATAGAAAAGGGTAACAAAAAGCTGGCAGGTAGGGACTACATCCTCAATGTCCCACCCAATGTCTGAACTCTTCTTTGTCATTATCTAGAAATCTGCTGGTTAGTACTCCCAGTGGGGAAGCCCAGGGAAGCATATGCCAGCAGCAGCCAGCCTGAGAGGGCCAGGCAAGTGCTCCATAGATAGAAAGACATGAAGACTCCAGCTAGCCATCTGATTGACAGCAGCCAGTGACCTGCACTTACAAGTTGTCCCAAGACACAGTGAAGTGTTTCTAGGCTCCAGAGCTGGGAGAAGCAGTACCTGTGTTTGAATCCCTATTTTGTGCTGCTTTATGAGGCTGGCCCCAGGACATGCATCTAGGCTCTTCCATTCATCAAAACTGCAACTGACTAGAAACATAGGACAGGCCAGAGTCCTCTGATTTACCAACCTCCACTTGTGAGATCTTTGCAAAATGTTAGGAACTGACCCACGAAGCCTTTCTGTCACATTATACTTGGCATAGAAAGAAACCATTTTCATGAGAAGTCACTATACCTGGGGGTCAGAAGCAGAGTTACTATCCCATTTTGATGATGTGAACTCTTTGTGACAACAATGAGAAAGGCTGCTGCCCTGAGAGATGCCTAGGACCCAGGTTAACAAGGCAAGGACTGATTCTCCATCCGGAGATCTTCAACCTGGTGGCTCACTGCAATGATTCCTCCATGCACAACTACATTTCTTGAATGCATATATATCAGGACACAAACACATACATATATCTATGCATATGTATACACATGCACAATCCTATATATTTGTACATACCGACAAGCATATACACATATCTGTACATCTGAGCACACACAGGCACATACCTATAAATCTTCACATATACTAACTAGGTACATATCTGTGTATCTGTACATACATGTATACTCTTGCACGTATCTACATACACTAACACATGTATAATCCTATGCATCTGTACACACTTGGGCATATATATACCTGTGTATCTTTATACACACGTACACTTCTGCACGATTGCGTATACATGAATACATATACAGTCCCATGCATTCATACACTCTAACACATACACAAACCTATAAATCTATAAGAATACAAAATGTGTACAATGTGTACTGCATACATGCTAACAAATGCACACATTTGTGTATCTGCAAACACACATCTACATACACACAAAGATACTCCACGTGTCTGTTACTACACAAGAGCATGTGCTCTGCAGCTTAAAACATCCACATGCGCATACCAAGGCATCTGTTCAGACACACCACACGTTTACCCGGGCACACACATACACATGTGCATGAACCAGATTTGGGGAGGAGCTGCTACCCGGCACACTGTGGCAGCACTGGCACACTCACACTGGCAGGACAGCGGCCAGATCTGTTGTTCCAGGCCTGTTCCCTCACCTTCTGCATCCTGATGTGGCCGCTCCTTGTACACCGTCACTTGGCCTGACCCTAGGCTTCACCTTATATACTGTCACTCAGCCTTCCCCTGGTTCTCTCACCTTCTGCACCAGCATTTCTCAATCAATGGGTCACAGACCCTTTGTGTGTGGGGGGAGGGGTTGAACAACCCTTCTACAGGGGTTGCCTAAGACCAACCCAAAAACACAGATATTTACATTATGATTCATAACAGCAGCAAAATTATAGTTATGAAGCAGCAACAAAACCAATTCTACGGTTAGGGGTCACGACATGAAGAAGTGAAGCATTAGAAAGGCTGAGAACGACTGTTCTACTCTATCACTTAGCCTGTCCTGGGCCTCACATTCTATACTGTGATTTGGCGTATCCTTGGACCTCTGTGCTCACAAGAATAAACTGCTTCCTCATAGCATCAGCATAGCCACCGCAGAAGCCCCGAGGCCAGAGCAAGTGCCAACCTGTATCATACCCAAGTGCCTCAAACTGGCACCATCTCTCACTAGCAAGTGTCCCAAGATTTGGGTGAGCACTGTCTGTCACCGCATAGGCCCAGGCACGGGGACGAGCACTGCACTGGCTCCATCCCACCTCTGCCATCTCAGCTGCTGGCACCTTCATTAGCATCCCTGGCAAGAGGCCCAACCGTAGTGAAGAAACAGGGTGTACCCTGAATGCTAGAGCAGGCCTGCTTCAGCATGGGCTTGTCCATCTTCTTGGCATAAAATGCAGCATACCACACACGAAGTTCAGTGCCTGCAGGGATATCCCTTGAGGTGGTGAAATATACATCACTGCCATGCTGGTAGGCTGTCAGGTTCTGGTGCCCAGGCTCTAGTGCTGGCCGCACCAACATCATCCAATTGCAGTCATCCTCGTTGGAAGTGTCGAAGCACACAGGATGCCCATCCTTCTGGAATACCTGAGGGGAGGGCCACAGCCTGGTTACTGACCAGTCTATCAGTGTGGCATGGGACATGGGGGAGATCACACTGCTTCTGATAGGACTGGTTTCCATAGATAGGAGATTAGAGAAAGATTCTGCGGCTTACATGGGCCAGGCTGGTCACAGGAAAGAGGAAGTTGAAGACATGCAACAGGTCCCTCATCATTGGAATATCGAGTACTGTTTGTGACCCAGGTGGGGACCTGAACTCTGCTCCTGTGCAGACACTGAGGGGACCCGGGGTTCCCCCCTCTAGGCATCATGGGAACCCTGGGCTCCCCTCTCTAGGCACCACGGGGACCCTGGGTTCTCCTCTCTAGGCATCATGGGGACCCTGAGCTCCCCTCCTGTTCAGTATAACAACAATGAGCTTTTCTCCCAGCTTTATTGGGAATGGAACACATGAGTTCTCCTCATGGCTCAGGTGGGTATCCAGATATTGGAACTCTCCTGTTCTGCTCCAAGCATGGCATCAGCAGAGTTCTTCAGTCCAGGTGAGCTGTCTCTGGTCTGCAGAACATCAGTACAGCTTCAGAGTTAATTGAGAGCAGGGCAGGAAGAGCCTTTAGTTTCTTTTGGTTTGAGTTAGCACAGGTTTAGGGTCTGTTCTCTATCTGTGGAATGATGACTGATTCCTCAGGACCCTGCCCCACTGACAAGCTTTTCCGAACAGACAGACCCCTGTAAGTGTGTGGCCCTCAGAAATGTGGGGACAAACTGTGAGGCCACCAGGTGCCCAGTGACCTCTAGTGGGAGTGAAAGGCACATTTCCACCTCCTCTCAGGGCACAGGGCTTCCCTTGGGACACACAGGTACTCAGAACTGAGAACAAATTGATACCTGAAAATAACCTTTAGAATTGAGGAGATGAAGAGAAGTCAAACAGGCATGAAGGACTTTCTCTAGTGGGGACACCTGTGTGTACCTATAACCTGGGTCCCCTGAGGGCAGACATTAAGTCCTGCCTTTCTGTGCTCAGATTTAGACCTTTACCATCATACCATAACATAGAACATTTCTTTCTGCTGTCCTTATACTTTTCCTTCTGTAAGTATCTGTCATTAGGTATTTGTCTTTCCTCTTTGGCTGAAGTCTGTCCTATAAGCTCAATATCCCAAGAGTGCCAAACTCTGAGGCTAGAACACCTAAGGCTGGCGGCTGCCTCTTTCGGGTCTCAAAGATAAGCACACTGTCCCTAGGGCTGCTGGGGAGCAACTCAGCCCTCATTTGTTTATGTCCCAACTATTTCTGAATGTATGCCACATGTGTGAACCTCTTCAGTCTCAGAAGGTTTTCCGGGGTTGACTTTAGATCCTCAGCCATCCCTGTAAGTGATATCTACTTTGTTTTTCTTGGTGTTATATCTAAGTTAGAAATATCTATTCTTCCTCAGGCAGATGTGCTCTGTGCAGCTTCCAAGCCCCATGCTATCACTCAGTCTCTGAGAGCTTCCTGCAACTCACACAGATGAGTGAGATTGCCACACGGGTGCAGAAAGCTACAGAGATCATGGCTATGCTGCAGCCACAGAACCTGCTAGGGGAGGAGAGGAGTTACACCAACATGGGGTCGGCTCCTGTTTGTTCTTAACTGTACTCCTTAAAGACCCACACATTAGTAGGCACTGCCTGAACCCTCACACTCTGAGGTGTATGGCATACTGAAGTGAAGAAAAGACTTCTCCAGCATTTACAAATCATCACTGCTCAGTGGCCCTCATCCCATCCCCAACAGGAGTCATGAAGCCCCAGTTTCTGAAGGGGCCATGAAGCTTCTGCCCATGCAGCTTTTACCTTCAGAGGAAATGCAGATTCCTTCTCCCACTTGGCGACCCTCCTGGACTCGAATGGACCAAATTGTGTGCGCTTGACTAGCTGGGTTACTGCAAACACACCTTCAGCCCCGTCATCCAGGCGTCTGATCTCCAGGTTAGAGGGGAGGGAGGACCTGAAAGCAGAAGTTTCAAAGAGGTCCTGCCACCTTTTCCAATGATCAGAGCAGTGCAATGCCTACAAGCCCCCATCATGCTCTAAAGGTACACTTTGTCAGGGAGCAGAATTGAAGCTCTCCCTGTAAATGGGAACAAAACTAGGGTTGTGCTTGTGAGGGCCCAGAGCCCATACACTAAGGGACACATTTAAAGCCCCACAAGACAATGCTGACCCCACTTTTCTAGTGTGGGGGCTGGGGAACAAGGACTGAAGCAGACAAAGTTATGACCTTCGAGGTTGTAGAGAAGGGTGGAGGAAGGGAGACAAAGAGGGCACAGAGCATAGTGAAGTGTTGCGGGTATAGGCCGAAGACCAGCAAAGAGGCTCCGTTCTGGGTGGGCTGGACCAGCTTCACTGAGGATGTGACTTTATTAGCCAGACTGTAAAGTCAAAGAAAATACTGGAAAAGAAAGTCATGGAGCTGGGACTTCAGCATGGGTGAACCTTGGGCCTGTGGGAGACATGTCTGGTAGCAGAGCTGGACCATACTCCCTGGAGAAGAGTCAATGGCAAAGGGCTCTGGCTCTGCTAATGTCTTCAGCTAGATTTTGATGGGCAATTGGCACCTCACCCACTCAGAAGAGCTGATCAGCTTTCTACTTTGGGTAAAAATGTTATTGAAAACATAAGTCACAAATAAAGGTGAATAAACGGGGGTAGTTACCAGTTGGAAGATTTACAGAAATAGTAATAAGACACTGTGCATTATTAGTTTAGCATCAGGCACCATCAAAGCCCCATAGGAGTAACTTAGGTTCTCCATGTCTCAAGCTACTGGTAGCCCTGACCCTACATTTCTGAAGGCTCAGGCCTCATAGGAGAACATGGGCCTGAAGAGCAATGCCTGGCTACTAAGCTGCCTCAGAACTCTTCAAGGTTTGTTTTTCCTGGTAGCTGTAGCTACTTGACCTGTTCCCTGGACTACTTGTCCAGAACCCTTACCCCAGCCTATTTGTCCAGAGTGCGTATCTGTCCACAGAGGCTTAGATTCAGAACACAGATGAAATCCAAAAGGCAGACCTATAGTTTGGTCCCCTCTCCTCTCCCAACAGGGTTTCTCTGTGTACCAGCCCTGGCTGTCCTGGAACTCAATCTGTAGACCAGGGTGGCCTTAAACTCAGAGAGATCAGCCTGCCACTGCCTCCTAAGTACTGAGACTAAAGATGTGTACTACTACTACCTGGTGATTCTGTCCACTTTTGTTTAATGCATAAACCGATGAAGTCCAGACTGGCATAGCCCAGATCCAAGGTCCCTGACTACACCAAGGAAACATACCCTCATGCTTTGAAACTCTTAGGACTCATCCCAGCAGGAAGGTGTCCGTCTCCCTGGGGGATGGGCCACCCCCCAACACACAGTCTCTCACTTTGACCCTCAAGCCTCTGTAGACACTTGGGACCTCTGCACTCTAGCCACAGCAGACAGGCAGAGAGCTCTTCTAGACAGGATTGCTGTGGAAGCTTAGGCACTCACTCACCTTGCCCTGCTCAGTACAAAGGAGTCCTTGACCATGACCACAGGTCCCAGTTCAGGACACTCTGAGTCGTGGTACTGGCTACAGTCTTCACACCCTGTAAACAGACACTGAATGTCAGAGGGGACAGTGCCCAAAGACCACAAACCTGGGAAAGGTGAGCAGCAGAGTTCATGAGATGTGTGCTGACACAAAGACAATAAAGAGTACAGCACATACAGGAGGCCTGGTCACAAGAGTCACCTCTTAGTACTCCCGAGAGCACAGTGCCAAGCAAGAGCCCCTTCCCAGGAGCACCAGCCTATGGCACTTTCAAACCCCACACATCATTTCCAGGGTTAGGAAGATCAGGATCTAGGAGTGTACTAACCCTTCACTATTTCTAAACCTCCAGTGACTTCCTGAGTTAAGATCACCCAGTCTCCTGTCCCTAGTGGGGTCCTAAAGAGAAGTGGTCTGAGGCCACAGCGCTGTAGCAGACAAGGAATACCCAGGCTCTCAAAGCAATGAGCAAATTACAGATTCAAAAGAAGCTCATGTCTGTGCTATACAAACAATGGATGTAGCTTTGCCTAGGCAGGAGCGTCAGTCCCATCTGCATTCTATGACATCATACTAGCCAGAGAGGTCTATGGGTCACTTACAGATAAACATGATCTCTTCGTTGCCATCTTCAGCCATTGCTGACACCTGTCAAGATATGAGAGACCCATTAACAGTGAGCTTTTATAACACCGTTTATGTGGGGGTTTTCCTATATGTATAAGTGCGTACACACCTATGTGAATATGTGTGTGAAGGTCAAAGTCACCCTTTGGTATCAATCCTCTGAAGCCATCCACCTAGTACTCCAAGACAGAGACTTTCCCTGGGACTGGGGGTTCGCCAATTATGCTAAGCTGGATGGCCAGGGAGCATCACAGATTCTGTCTCTGCATCCCCAGTGCAGGAATTACAAGTACACGCAAAAGCCCAGCTTTTAAAATGTAGGTACTGGGGATTGAACGCAGGTTCTCATGCTTGACTGGAAATCACTTAATTGACTGAACCATCTCTTCAGCTCACTAACAGGTTTCAGAGATAATCTCTTCCAAAGCTCCTTGATCCTTTGCATGGATTATAACACATTGCTTTCAAGAGAACAAACACATTCTCACCTACAGTAATAATGCTTCTTTAGGAACAGCAATGGATTTGAATGCCCTCATGACAAGGGAGCCTTCATGAACTCAGATCTTCTTTGTTTTTTAGCAGATATCATTTATAAAATGTACACTGCATTTTAGAAGCCACTTTTCTTGCTGTCCTCTCTAGGCTATGAAACCTCACAGTCATTTATACTGCAATCTGTTCTTCAGACCGTGTATCTAGCTTATGCCAATGACCTTATCATTCTGAGTGGGTAAAAAGTAGTGTCTGACACACAGTATGGTAGTTCTCCTGCTCCCACATAGACCTTTGTCAAGCTATTTCTATTCCCTATGCATCCTTTGAATGCATCCTCAAAAGCCAAGTCCAGAGTGGGTAGTTAAGCACAGACTAATCCGTACCACACATGTGTTTCAGACAGAGTGATGCAGATGTTGTTCATTCTGGGATATCAGATGCCTAAGCTATAAGACAGATATGAAAACATCTACTTCCTGCAGCTTGGGGAGAAACACAAAGTGAGATGTACCTGGCATGTCCCACCAAATAATGCTCCCCACCCCTCAGCCTTCCTGCTGTCTGATCACTCTGCCTCTCTGGTGCCCACTGCTAATTGTCATCTCAGGAAAGGATGCAAGCTGATACATACTTCCTGAATGTTAGTCTCACGTGCCCTCCAAACCCATCCCAACCTCAGCAACTTAAAAATTAGAACCCAGGTAGAACAATGCCTCAGTGAAAACTCAGACTGGCTGAACAAGCTATTACTGAGCAAAGAAGGGAAGGACTGAGGACATGGTGATGGGAGGAGAAAGGTGCTATGCACAGTCCGGGGAGATGAGTTCCCACGCTTCAAGTTTTCCATGTTGCTTTAAAAAGTTAAAACTACCAGGCACATTAAACCCAAACTCAGCAAAACATTTTCTTTTTCTGGAACCAGCATCTAAGCTAGGTTCCTGCCTGGCCTCTCAGGACTCCTGGCAAGTGGGTACCATGTGGAGTGGGTACCAACCCAGGATGGGGAGAATGGCTGGTCACTGAGCAGAGGGCAAGGAGGGATTGGTGGTTGGTGCTGCTGGCTGGAGGCCTATAGGAAGTAGAGCATCACAGTGGGGGACGGGGATGTAGGGTGAACGAAGCTACCCTCTTTGTGGCAGCTGAGAAGGAAATGTCCTCTGGGAGGGCATCTCCTTAATTACCTAGCTTTCTCCCACAAAGTTCCTTTCCTGAAGTTCTGCCATCACCCACTAGTACCATTAGCTGGAACCCTTTTAACCTACAGACTTGGGGGTGGGGGTGTAAGATTCACAACCACAACAAGCAGCAGCTAATGTGTGACACTTGTCACAAGAGCTTGGGGGTCTGAGTACCACAGCAGGGATCTGCTCTACACACCAGTTACATTCAGGTCAGAGAGCTCTGTAATAAGAACAGGTAGCGAGGGGCTACCTCAAGCCATGGCTAAATCCCAGCAGGACACAGAAGGAAGCTAATCAGAGCAGAGCAGGAGGAAACGAATCTACTCTGTTCTGCTTGTTTTGGAACTGGAATCTGCACACAGAGGTGTGGTAGATTCTTCTCCCTAGGGTAGCAGCCCAGTCTCCAGTTCCATCCCTCTCCACAGGGCAAGGACAGGAACCCTAAGCCAGGAAGGTTTAGGTGCTGCTGCTGTGGGAAGAATGTGAGAGCACAGGAAATGGTATGAACCTGGTCATGTACATGGTGCCTAACACAAGAATCTTATACTTATGGTTGTGAGCCTAGACTTTAACGGCTGAGCTATCCTCCAGCCTGTAACACAATAATCTTGAGCATTCTTTATTAGTGGCATAGCTTCTAAATCTTCTAAGCAGAGGTCACATAAAGTGATGATGTACATTTTCAAAGTTTGCTCCCATCCAACTGAGAGTGCTCCTTTGTAGAAGCCAAATTCCATCTCCAGATTTCTATGACCCTCCCACATTAACAGAACAGTGCTGGTGTAGTAACACTCTCCTAGGATCCCTAAGCAGGCTAAAGGAGGAGGACTATGAATTCAAGTCCAGCCTGGGCTATACAGGGATAGCTTGCCTAAAAATAAACAAACAAACACAAAACAGAAAACAAACAGAGAGAGAGAGAGAGAGAAGGAGATCCCCAAAGAAAGAATTATAAAGTACTATGTGGTGCAAGAAGAAGAGGGAAAAGGATTAAAACTTTGAGAGACACCTGCCTCTCCCCAGTGTTTCAGAGTATATTCCATGGACCAGGAAGCAGCAGCAGTACTTGCTCTGCCTGGACGCTCAAACACCTGCCCAGCAGCTAGCGGGGATGCAGCAGTTTCTCTGCACCCTCCAGCTGATTCAGCTGCAGCCCAAACTTGGTCCACAGCTACAGCCAGCAATTAAACATAGCTATAGTGACAAAGGCCCACTGTGGCATTATCAGGAAACCAAATGCATATTGAGTGCCTAGGAGATTCTGTCAAGGATCTCCTGACTCTAACTGGTTGGTGATACAAGTGAGGGTGGACTCCAGGCATATGTGCCCTAACACTGACACAGGTGTTTGCACAGCCTGCACCAGGTGACAAGTGTAATGGTAAATATTCATTCTCAAAATGATAGGATCTAGAATCGCCTAGGGGGACTGTGTAGATGAGGCTAACCTCTGAGCATGTCTGTGGTTATCTAGATTGGGGTAACTGAAGGAAGAAAACCCACCTTAACTGTAGGTGTCACCATTCCATGGTCTGGGGTCCTCCACTGAATAAAAATGAGAAGGCCAGCTGAGCATCACTCTCAGCTTCTGGAATGAGGATACAATGTGGCCATTTCCCTCAAGCTCCTGCTGCCACCATGCTTTCCCCACCAATGGACTGTACTCTCAAGCTGGGAGCCAAAGTAAGCACTTTCTCCTTTAAGTTAATTTGTATGGTATTTTACTGCAGCAATAAGGAAAATAAGTAAAGCAAACATGTTAATGGGAACATTCAGTCTACCTACCCCAAGCTTAACCATGAATCTATGGTAATGGAAATCTAGACACAGGGATAAAGGGCAGCATGGACTCCAACAGACAGGTACAGACCCATACATGCCCAGCCAAATTTCCACAAATGGTAGAAGTGATTCAGTGGAGGAGGGAGGGTCTTCTTTCCTATGAATGGTGCTGGGATGACTGGACATCCACAAGCAAGAAAAATTAACTCTGACTCCAGGTCTTATTAAAAATAAATAGCATGACTCGGCGTGGTGAGCAGATAATCCCAGCACTCCAAGGCCATGGCAGGAGAACCGAATGTCCCAGGTCAGCTGGGGCTTTACATAAGACCCTGTTTCAACATAAACCATCAAATCTGTTGCTGTGTCCATGTGGCTCTCTCAGCTGTCTATTCTGTTCTGATGCTGCCAAAACTACACAAGAGAAAGACAACCAACTGCCTGCCACTCTGGCCTTACTGTGAGGCTTCATTATTCCCTGCCTTAGTCTTTCTAGTTCCTTTGCCTCTCCATAGAATTTCTCTTCTTCCTCCTCCTCATCTTCTTTCTTTTCCTTTCCTTTCCTTCCTTCCTTTCGTATTGTTTTTATTGAGATAGGGTCTCACTATGTGTCCCTGAAAGCTGCTGTGTAAACCAAGCTGGCCTTGAACTCAAGATATTTGCCTGAGTGCTGGATTGAAGGCATGTGTTTCCATGGTGGGCTTTTGGACAACCCTGTTTATAGCTGTGAAAAGGTCTTGGAAGATTTGAACACAGTTTTAGCTGCCCTTTGCTTACTCTCATACCCCAAGCATCCTCATGTGTGTAATTCATGTTTAAGAAACTTTCTCACATTAAGTCTTGGAGGTTTGGGCATGTTCTTTACTTACAATGGATCTTAGCTTTAACAGTCACAGCTCAAAGATTTGGAAACCATTTCTGGTCTAGAGGCCCTGGCAATTTTTGTTTAAACAAAAGTACTATCTTTCCCACTGGCACAGGCTTTCAGGGAGTATATTAAAAGCAACAGGGGAGAAATCTCTACAGGGAAAAAGCAAATGAACAGTTTCTCAAACTCTGTACGTTGATCTAGGTTTGATAGGTAACGAAGGAGTAGGCAGGGAGAATCTTGAGCTATTGGGAGCACTGCAAACTCCACTCAAGATACACATCAGGCATTGGAGGTTTGTGTAATCTATCAGAATAGACCTGCTGGGAACAGAGCAGGCCAGCAGCTCATCAGCCTAGCAGGGTAGAGGGAGCTGCCCTCTGTGATGTACAGGCTGAGGGGCCACAGAATTATAATCAGCCCTGTACTACTACAGGAGGGCTAGATGCCAAATTCCAGCATGTTTGCCGCTGCTGACCCTGGTGGGTGATTATCACCCTTTCCTGGGCTTAGGTTTTCTCAATGGACTTTGAGTACCTTTCTGGTCTGCCCCAAACAACTGCAGGCAGGGTTTTCCCACTCTTAGACCTTGTCCTCCTATGACACTTTTTGTTTATTCCTGTGCAAAGACAGACACCCGGGGCAAGTGTATACCTAGATGCAGAATGGTCCCGGCATGCCATCCATGTCAG